AAGGCTGAATATGAAGGCAGATACACTGTCTAGGCGTAGGGACTACCGCCCTGGAGGAAGGAGTAATTCTCTGTCGGAGACACAAAAGCCCTTTTTCGCCCAGGACAATGGGTTGTGGGCCAGGAACGAGACCTCTGGCGACCACACTCACTGGCAGCCTGTCAAGGTTACCAGTTGCAATCAGCATTCTTGGATGCATTGTGCGTCGTGGCAAAACAGGATCCTGTCTATATGAAGGACTTAAAGGCTGTATTGGCAGGGGATAAAGATGTCGACCACAACCTGAAAATAGAAAGAGACCTTCTTCTGTATTAGAATAGGTGGTATATTCCTGACTCCCAGGATCTGAAGGATAAGATCATGGAAGCTGAGCATAACTCCTATATCGCAGGACACTTTAGAACATATAAGATGGTGGGCAGGGTTAGGGCTAACTTCTTTTGGCCTAAGATGGATGAGAGTATTACAGACTATGTTCGTATATGTGATGCCTGTCAATAGAATAAATCTGTTAAGTATAAGAAGTTTGGCTTGTTGGAACCTGTCAGAGTACCATTGAGGCCGTGGATGGACATCTCAATGGACTTCATAGTAGCACTACCAGAATCAAAAGGGTATACCAAAATTTGGGTAATCGTGGATAGATTCTTAAAGATGGCACACTTTATACCTTTGGTCACAGAAATTCCAATAAAGGATCTGGCTCTGATATTCCTAAAGGAAATTTGGCGGCTCCATGGACTCCCAAAATCTATTATCTCCGATCGAGATAGCCGATTCACATCTAAGTTTTGGATGAGCCTGATGCAACAATTGCAACTGAAACTACCGTTGTCGACCGCTTTCTACCCTGAGACTGATGGGGAGACTGAGTGGGTGAACCAGACCTTGGAACAATACTTAAGAAATTATTGTTCATACCAGCAAGATGATTGGGCGTCACTACTACCTTTAGCAGAGTACGCATACAATACGTTTACCTCCAAGTCTACTAAGTTATCTCCATTTGAGATCAACTATGGCTTTAACCCATGGACCAACTGGTTGGGTACAGTCTCGGAGCAGCAAGGTGTTTATCCCAGCAGCGAGCTATTGGTAAGGAATTGGGAAGCTGTCTGGCAAGAAGTCCGAGAGACACTTAAGCGAGCTCAAGAGAGACAGCGGAAATGGCATGACCAGAGATGGTTACTATCACCGTAATATACTAAGGTGGAAGATATTACAAATGGTAGAGCAAAGAAGGCTGACCGCGTGATGTCAAACTGAAAGAACATTCGTACTAAGCGACCTATGGAGAAGCTGGACCACCGAATGTTTAGGCCCTTTGTGGTTCAAGCGTAAGGTTGGCAACTGCGCTTATGAACTCCAATTGCCTACCCATTTGTAAATCCACCCAGTATTCAATGTCAGACTCTTAGCCTGAGAACCCTATCGTGAGGACCCAAATAGTAAAAGGACTAAGAAAGTCCCAGTCTCTGAGATAGTAGACAATGAGTTAAGCTATGTTATCAAGGCAGTCATAGATAGTTGATGGTATGGAAATATGAAAGCGAAGTTTCCAAATCACTTCATACAGTACCTAGTTTCATGGGAAGGCTATAGCGCACAGGAGAACTCTTGGGAGCTATATGAGATGCTAGAAGGTACTGGCTTGAAAGCCATGAAGGATTTTTACCATCAGTATCCCCATAAACCCCGAGACCATAGGGTTGAGGGTGAACCGAACCAGAGAAATAAGAGACGACGTTAGCGGACCGGGTCAGTCCTTAGAGAAGAGGGGAGTGAGATAACGACCCTATGTTATAGAGCTATAGCAACCTAAGTCTACGCCTATACATAAGACCAAGAGGTCACATGATAGACTAGGCAGGCATGCGGGTGCATGTCCAAGGGATATCCGATAGTTTGGGTATTCCAAGAAATACAAGGTACTTAAGGAATAGGTGTACCTAAATAGCGGAAGTAATGTAACTATATCCACTCCAGCCTAAGATTAGGTCGGAAGGTCGGGTGAGTCTACCCTGTCTAGGAGAGTCATGTTACCCTACCATAGAGACCAGTTTCGTGTCTCCATGGACATACTTACCCTACCTTTGGGACACTATTACTCTACCTTCTGTCGGAAATGTTCTCAGAGAGACTTCGTGAAATGTTAGGATTGTTTGTTACATAATGACGATCGACGGACACTTGCTTGCATATTGATCGGCCGACTACAGGAGGAGCTAGAGTGCTCTGAACATGCTGTAACTTGGCAGAATCATTCCTGAGGTACCTGCGGCCCCAGGGTTTGCCCCAGGCGTCATGGGCCAAAATGGTTGAAGTTGCTGTCATACTAGATAAATGGAGTCTATGAAGACTTGTCCATAACACCATATACATTGCTGCCATCCGTCCGACTGGATGCTGTTCGCAGGATATATAAGGGGGCCAAGGTGAGAAGGTCAGGTACCTTCTCCAAAAAGAACGGAGTAAGACGGACCAACACTGACGGAGTTAGTGTGAACTATCCGGAAGGGTCCTCAGAGTAGTCCCAAGTAGTGCCAGAGACATCTGGGAAGGTTTTACACCAATCAAGCCTACATGTACCCCTTTGCCATAGGCTCTTTATGGGTTGTTTGAGGACTCTAATAGCATGATGCTTATTACGGTGAGTGGTGTGCCGGGGGTAAGGGACCATGGGTAGCGCCCATGGGTCCCGCCGCCACCGCAGCTCTCCGCGGGAGCATCATAGACCTTCAAAGTTCACAATCAAGATAGATAGAACTTAACCAGAAGACAGCTGATGTCTACGAGTGCTTGCATAGGTCATAGCACATGGGAAAAGAGTCATTTAGTTAGCTTTCCTAGGCAGCTCGACAGTTAGCCACTGGTGAGGTACCGATGCACAGAGGTTTTCACTCTGGTGGGTATATTGGTAAACACCTCACAGGAACTGATGTGCATATAGGAGATTTCTGCTAGAGTGGGCTGACACCTTAGGCCCTTCAGGGACATGGTAGTGGTGCCAGCAACCCTTACAGAGAAGGGTATACTTGTGTTGGTTGGGGTAACCTGATGGGGGCGTTTTTGATATAAGTCTGACTACTTAAGGATTATATGAGAACTCTCCTACCTCAACATAATCAACATCCTCTCGAGAGACTTTAATTGAGATAAGCCTAAGCTTAACGATATTAAGTTTTACTGTTTACTTTTATTCTTTACACTTTGCAAGAGCTGTATTCAAGAGATTTGAAGTTTAGTGCGGTCACATCCTTAGGAACCATCTACCTGAGGGAGCCCCCATTACAATGCCAATGGCAGTAACTATCCCCCCCCACCCACCTACCCCTATGGTGCAACTGCAGGACAGCTCTCAGATTACAAACACTTCTGTCGAGTGGCTGTAAATGTCAAAGGATACTCGAAACCACAAGTAAAACAAAACGTAAAACAAATACCTGGACTGGACAGACTGGACTCCAGTTCTGGTTACAGCAGAAGTATAGGAAATGGTTTTCTTTGCTGTGTTTAGAATTATGGCTTTTTATATTGCCATACCATGAGGTGAATATAGGTTTTTAAGCCATAATCAATAAACCTATGAAATTAAAAAAAAAAAAAAGTAGTATATACATCCAAGAACTATCATGACAGTATGTATGATGATAATAACCTGAGCTCACTACAAAATACCTGGTCAAACCCGAGTCTATACAAGAAAGTGAGTCAACAATTAGACCAAAGCTCAATGAATATCATATCATAATCATGCCAAGGTTGTGACTCTGCCACAACCTTCGATTGCTCTTACTCACAATCTTAGGCTCATAGAAGTCGTGCCCAACAACTCAACAGAAGATTCAGCTCAACGATAGATTTTATTTGTATTTGAATTTAGGAATCAAGAACCACTACCAAACATTCTGCAATGCTTTAAATGTCCTTTTGGTTTCCTCACACATTGATTTAAGTCTTTGATAATAAGTCTTACATTTTTTCCCCTCTCTTTTACAACTCTTGTTTTTGCGTGGTGGGACTTTGGTTTGGATTAAGCGTGAATCTTGCGTTGAGCTGTTAGGCACGTCGTAGACGTGCTGCAAGATTTGCAAGTGTGAACAGTTGCATAATCAGCAAAACCTTGGCCCGGTTACCCATTCGCCCCATCATAACCAATGCTTTTTGATCAGATCCTACGCCTTTCGTCGGCACCTCAATCCTAAATTTACAATCTCGTTTCCATTTCCACTTAAACTCGGGCACACACTCCCTAACACCATAACAGCCCTCCACACAGAAATAACTCGAATAATCGGACCATATGCTAGGACAATTGGACTTGCGTCTCTCGGTAACGTCTGGTGTTTTTTTCCATTTTTCCTAATTGTTTCGGAATCCCTGCTTTTCCATCGGTACTAATTTAGTACCGCACCCGTATTCGGCCCCATTTCCAGAGTGGGAAATTTCGGACTACATGGCACATGGTCCGATTATTCGAGTTCCTATGGTAGACTTTACAAATTGCGATACCTACCTTGTGTATCAAGTACTCGTATACAGTACTCCGGGAGGAACTCCCATCAATCGAGCTCGGGGAAGAGGGGGGTAAAACACTTGTTCATTTCGAGTTTGTGGCACTGTACGCGCACTGTACTATGGTAAGTGTTGGATCCCCTTTCCTTCTTTTCTTTTTCTTCATGATTCCGCACCCGAGCGTAGAGTGCTCGAGTGATGTATAGGACAGCGTAAATTTACAGGTGATACTACTGATTTGGATGAATGTATGGACATCGAGTGACGGCTACTCCGATTGAGGATAGTGTGATGATATTCTATTGATTTGTTAAATGCCGACCGGATGGATGACTGTCCGGTCGTTTTCTTTTTCGGCTGTGAGGGTGGTTGGGCGAGGTATCACGGGAATTGGGCCACCGGACCAGTACAGGCAATGGCCAATCTGTCATACTCGGAAAGAAATTACCCTGGTAGACAGAGTTTGGGCAGTATGACAGAGTAGTGCTTTGCAATCTTAGGTTCCCTTTATTTCCTCCTAAGCCATTATATCAGGAACTCCGGGGCACGATAGTGATAGTGATGGTGATGGTGACGGTGGTGGGAAAAAGGTTTATGATACATACACACCAGCCATACACGCACATGCAACACCATCACCACACCTACCGGTACATGAGACAAAAAAGAAAGAGGGGAGGAAAGGAAGAGAAGTTCATGATAAAAATAGCTAGAATATGAATGCGATCCAGGGTAAAAAAGTATCAAGGAAAAAGAGGGGAAAGCCCATTCAACTGAACGCCGGAGAGTAAGAAATGCTTTTTATCTGAACGTGCCGAATAAAACAAAGGAATAAGCAAAGGAAAGTTGAAAGGGAAAAAAAGAAAAGAAAAGAAACTCCACCAGGATGCAATGACTTATTTAGAGACAGAAAAATATCCGAGAAACGCACGTATCAGCGATAAAAGGAAAAAGAAATCCGCACAGAAAATGACCCAGCTCACCCCTATCCACTCGATCCTACCTCCTCGGCCAATTCAGGCCACTCCACCGATTCCGGGCTTGCTCCGTATACCTAAAACTTCCCCTGCTCTTGAAGAGTCCTCGTCCCTCCTCCTCTGGGGCCTCGAGGCAAGGGATCTCGAGACATTCACAACCGACTTTGGTGATGACAAACTTGATGCTTTCGATGGGGCATCTAGGATAGCTCCCCTTTCTTCCATAACGCAGTCTCCATCCCGTATCTCCACTGCTGCATCCTCTCCCTCGCGAACTGAGACCTCAGCTTCCATACATTTACCCGTGACCACCGCTTCCCCCTCACTGTCACTCTTCTTCAAGCCATTTCCCTTCACCTCTCCTGTCGCTTTGGCAAGCTCAAAGATTTCGAATTGTTCCCGCAAACCCACAATCACATCGAAAATCTTGGATCGCATCCCCTTGATTTCATCTTTTCGCCAAAGCTCTTTATCTAGCTTCACATCCTCCCTAGCCAGAAATGCGGCGACAAATTCCCTGGGCTGCTCAAAGAACCTCTCAACATAATGAAGGAGATACGGCCCACAATCGTAGTAGTTGTTCTGGTTGGGAGCCTAATCACCCGCGTTAGCCTCCGAAATTAGCTCTTACTAGATTTTGGTACTAACCTTTGCGTAGGTAGCATCGATATCACCTCTTGTAATTTCTAGACTCCTCTTGCTAAGGGCCTCCGCAGCCAAGTAGTCTCTAAGGTTTCTGATTGTTGCCGGCCGGGAACTTGAACCATACCCCATAGAATCGAGGATGATGATAGCCGGCCTTTGCAGGTCAGCATAATTCAAGCCGGACCGAATGTTGCAGAGTTAACTTACGTATCGGCCGGCACACTTCTCCTGTTCGGTCGTTCAATTTTCGCTTTCCCTTTAGCAGCCTTTGGTGTAGCGAGTTCAGCCGCAGGGCCCCCCATCATCACAGCCTGGTGAGGGTCTAAAGGCTCATCCAAGTCCTCTTTTGGCCATTCATCCTCGTCAAGTGACATCTGTTCAAGACTGCCCTCCACTGTTCCTATATCCCTAGAGTCGTCGCCTATAACAGTCGCTTCGGCACTTGCTTGTTTCTGCGCCACCGTTTCTTCAGAATCAGACAAGTGAACCAACTTATCATGATCCCCTTCTTTATCGTCTCGATCATCAGCCAGTGTTGCGGATGAAGACTCCAGATCAATGGCTCCGGCACTGGCAGGCGACATGGAAGCACCGTTCCGTAACCTGCGCTCCAAGTTCTGGAGGTTGCATACGATAGCAAGGTACCAGTGAGAACTAAGTAATCAGTATATTTCTCTTCCCTCTCTTCGCCTGGCAGGAGTGCATACGCTTCATTGATGGGGATGACAATATAGTTCATATTGAACAAGTCCACTTTGGCGGTCCATTTCAACACACTATCAAAATTTTTCTTGCTTTCCAGATTGTCAGTAGACGCCTTTCCATATTAGGATTGAATCATGTTCACCCTTTCCCACCCTTTCTAGCGAGAATTTCATAGAAAAATGTGTTGAGAAAGTAGGTCTCCTTGGCCAAATCAGGGTCTCTCTTTTGCAACTCTACCTCAATGTACCTTTTCCGATTCTCAGTAAATAATTCAAGGGAATATCAGGAAAAGGCCAACCTCAGGTAGAAATTGATGAGATTGTCGTTGAGAAATTCCTCGGCGCCAAGCCGAGCCAAATCTTCATACTCCACCACTTGTCTTTTGGGACCCTCAAAGGGATATACCAGGGAGGAACGCCATTTAGGTTTGGGAAGTTCTAGCCTGCGGACTTTAGGTGACCGAGATTCCCTAAGGTTTTACGTTAGAACGTGATATGAAAAGCTAACCAGCGGCCGTTTCCCATACCTCGCGACCTCGTCCGTAAGGCTCCCTCGCCGACGCTTAACCTTTTCAGACTTCCCAATCTCTTGGAACTCCCCAATCTTTTCAGAGACCTCAATATTGCTCGAAATAGCATTTCTCCTTGTGAGACGCTTGGTTTGTTGAAGCGGCTTCTTTGGGTCTGCTGGAATCACAACTTCAAATGGATCGGACGTAACTCCCCTCTCGGTCGACTGTTTTCTAGTTTGAAAACGCGCTGGCGGGCTGCGCTCAACTACCGGTTCAATAACCAGCTCTTGGGTTAACCTTTCTTTTTCTTTCCGCACCCAAAGTTCGTGACTCTTCACTCGAACCTCCCACCATTGTTCAATCCTAAACTTAGCCTCCAGATCTTCCAACCCCGCATCCTGCACAAACGCCTCGCTATCACTCTCGTTTCTAAACGTGAACATGATGCGGGATTGCGACTCTGAACCTGTAAAATATCAGGACAATACCCAGCAAAGATTGGCAGGCTACTCACTCAGTTCCCTCCTCAGATCGATCGCACACTTCTTTGAGCTCCCTAGCTATTCATATTCAGTATCCCGAAATAAGTATGAGGCGAGAGTGAGAGTCCAACGCGCACGGAATAGAGCATACATATATCTTTCGAATCTTGTCAACCCGGAAGGTCAAACTCTTAATCTCCCCAAACCCATGCATTACTTTGTATTCCTTCGAACCCTTTGCGTCGGACTTTTCAATTACCAGCCCTCTACAATTCGAATGAGAACATTCGTTTGCCGCAACAGTTGAGCCCCGCTGAAAACGGGTAAGAGAGAAAACAGTCCTTTTTGATCGAGCTTGAGTTCGCTTTGGTGTGGCCTTCCACCTAGTGTGTTGCGGGTCGCTGCTTTCTGAGACCCAAGAGACATCGCGCATCCGTGAACCCTTATGGACGGGCATTACAGGTATAGACTTTACAAGAGCCGAAAACGAATCGGCTGTATCACTGGTTTCCTCACTCGCCGCCCGCGAGCTGCTCCGAATAACTTCGGACGTAGCATCTCTTGCCGTTTGAGAGAAATATTTTGATTTCTTCGCATCACTATCTGAAGGTTTGTTAAAACCAATTCCACGAGGCGGAGGGCGACAGGTACCATTTATCGTAAACGAGGAGCTCCCTGCAGCCTTAGATAAATCCCTCAGTACGATTGAATCCTCCTCTCTCTGCCTCTTGGGGCGAAAGGGTCCGTCAGCCAACGCCTCGGATTGTGTCAGCTTCCGCTTGTTTTGTACGGGAGAGCGTGAATTTTGTGGTTTGTTGAGTGTGTTCACAGGCCCGTAAGCGCCCCCCTGCGCCAGTATCAGACGTTGCGCCTTGTGGTATAAGTGAGATTTGAGTGAACATACCAGCGGCGGCCCACCAGGTCTGCCACCTCTTGCGCTTCCGGGAACTGGAATCGGAACGGCGGTTGAGCTCACACATTTTTTGCTGACCGGCCTCATCAGCAACCAAACATCAAGCAAACCATCAATAGAAGAGTGAAGTACCTTAAGCGATCGTTGGGTAGATGTTGTAGCTCCTCCTTTTTGTGGACCAACAGATCTGGACGTGGAAGTGATGGTGGAGGCTTTGGCGTACGACCGGCAACCTGTTCAACGTTAACACTATCGCCAAAAAGGCTCGGGATCAGGAGTTATCCGCCTAAAATCCCCAAGATAACCAAATACAAAGTGAGCACAAACCAATTGTACCTCCTCATCATCGTCCTCGATCGAATCTTCTCCGTCCGAATGCGACCCCCTAGAGGAGGAGGCGCGCAGGGGTGGCGGCATCTCGAAAATAGTCGTTTCCCGAGGAGTGCTGTGATGGGGAGTTGGAGTTAAGGGCGAGCGAGCATTACCAGCTTAGGAGGCTCTGTGAGGTGGAGAAAATGGTCCAAGTTGTGGGGTTTCGGTTTGACAGGGCTTGTCACCGAGCGGCTGTTAGGAGGAGCGGTAGTCAGGCTTAATGCACGATAACGTGAGAGAGGCGGTAGGTCCCGCGGAAGACTGGCCCAGTGGGGGGGGTCCGCCCCAGGCTTTCTGGCTGAGGTCGACTATTTCCTGATCCTCGCTATTCCCAGTCGACTAGTTTACACCAGGCCGTTCCCTGATAAACAAGTGGTATTTCCCCAACGAGCCTCCCGTTAGAAACTTCTGTCCACGGCCTCCTTGTGTCAGGGGTTAGAAAGCGTGGGAAGCTGTGTTTTTGCCTTTCCTGACGGGCCCGAAATTTGTCCGGATCTAATCCGTGAGGTGAAATCACAAACCCAGCAATGCTACCAACCTGATCTCAAGAATTGTTTATCAGTAGACTTCTTTTTCGTCTTCTGCAAGGGGAATCTGAAGAGAGGGGTTATTTTTTGACAATGTCCCAGATCAGAAACAGTGCGAAGCCGGACAGGAGAGCAAAGTCCCATCAAACGACCCCCATATTTTCATACTCAAAGAGCATTTCATAATTTCGCCCTCATAGCACAGTCATGTTATTTAGCAATCTAGAAGGTACTCCTCACTCTCCCAAACTCTCTGCCTCTACCAGTATTTCCATCTTTTCCGCAGTGGCTCCTTGCATGTGCCTGCTACCTATCGGCTTAGTTCACCGGTATCTCACCAGCCTTGAAGCCAATCCCGATATCAGAATGTAAGGCCAACAAAGCCCATCACACTCACGGCCAAGCCTTTCCCAAAGATTCAGTGCAGCGAAAAGAAGGCGAAAAGGAATTTTTATCTTTATTCCTCAAAAATAAAAATAAAAAACCCATTCCCTACTCAAGCTCCATGCCCCATTCCGCCGATATGAATGAGTCGGTGAGTGCTGTACCATGGGGACTCTGCGATCATGGTCAGGAGCTTATGATACATCACACACGGCAGCCGGAATTTGAGCTTCCAGCGGCAGCCACTTCCTCCGAGAAATCCGCAACAACACTTCAGGTCAGCCCACTCACAGCATTGCCCAATTTCTCCCCTCAAGGTAGATACCGTGACCTTGAGGCCCCAAGACAACATACAAAGGGCCGTGGGCCACACAACTCCCCACCATTACCAAAACTTCACTGACACTTCTATCCCACCAGGCGCTAATCCCAAAAGGCAGAACCCCCCCGAATCCTCTGGAGGAGTATCACAAGATATCACTCGGGGTTCACATTAAAACAGCATTCTCCAGCATACAAAACAAGCTATAGCTTGGAAACACAATAAGCCGAGCAGATGCTCAGGCAATAGCTCTAGTAGCCCCACAGTGCGCAGGCTCCTTTGGATCGCCATCCAAAGGGTTGGATCCCAGAGCGCCCGAGAAGATTTTACGCACTACTCATACATGGGCTGGTATCTAGTTAGAAATATCAGCCCCCCCCCCCCCCCTAGAACCTGAAATAAGATGGAAGGTCTAGATATGCGCAGACGTGATCACAGTAGAGAATCGCCCGACACCGTCCCCCGTTTTCCCCCAAAACCCACGACCCCCCCCCTCCCCGAATATAGCAACCCACTCGATCTGCAAAAAAGCTGCCGCACCATGCCATAAACATGCGTTAATCCTCCAACAAGTGTCAGGAGTACCGAAAGTATATTCGCAGGCTCCGCTAATATCTCGAATCCACCTACTAATCCATTCCCAGGGACTACCTAGCCAACACAACTGATAGCCAGGGAGAAGCATGATACAAGATCGAGAATTGCACCAATTCGCTCCCAAATTATTAGCGAAATACAGCATGGCTAGCCTACCCTCAAACCCGTCTTTCTCAAATTTCCTGGAATCGGTCTAGTCAACAGCGGCCGGAGGACGGTTCGGTCTGATAGTACTCTCAAATTTTACCCCCCGCTGCCCCCAGACTTACACGCCTCACGGATGCTCTAACGGCCACTGGGCCAGCCCCCAGATCCAACACGCAATCCACAGAACCTAAATCCGAGTGATATTCTAAGATGGGTTCCCGAAGGTAATCATGGGGGGGGGTTCTGCTAGGGCTTAGGGCTCGCTTCACGATTTAAATTTCCGCCCAAAAACATTTGAATCCCACGCAATAATCCACATCAGAAAAAAAAAAACCCCCCCACGAATCAGGACGAGGTGCCCAAACAACCACTCAATTCTTCCACCCAGGAGGCTTTGGACCCGCGCCGAAATCATGCGCTCCAAATTCCCCTCTCTGGGTACCACCCCAATAATTTCCAGGCGCTCACTGACTTACAAAAAAGCATTACTATCGAAACGAACCTTGGCAAGTTTAACCTCCAAGAGGGCTCCTACCAACAATAAAAGAGAAGCCGGGGGTGATGACGGCCCGGTTCCTAAACCCAAGAATGACCTTTTCAGAAAGAATTTTACGCCGGTAGGTCTCCTAATGTAGAAAAGTGATCGGCTGCCATCAGGATTGGAATTTACGGAAATTGCTAACTCTTAGAGTTAGTCGGAGATAGAGGCCGGCTGGTATGATTACTGGGTATCCCGTGGCTTCTTCGAGCCTCAAAAGAGCCCTCACAGGAAGGAAATTCATATGCTCCTCCCGCCTCCGAATATTACCGGGCAACTACACATCGGGCATGCGCTCATGCTCTCAATACAAGACGCCCTGGCACGATGGCAACGCATGAATGGCTACCGCGTATTCTGGCGGCCGGGCACTGACCACGCGGGTATAGCGACGCAGTCCGTAGTAGAGAGGATGCTGGAGGCGAAGGAAGGGCTCACGAGGAAAAAATTGGGAAGAGAACGGTTTCTGGAGGAAGCCAATAGGTGGCGTGATCTAAATGGTAGCGCTATTCTAAAGCAGATGGAGAGGTTGGGGGTATCTACCGCCAAGAGTCTGGAGTATTATACGCTAGATAAGGGCCTTAGTGGAGTGGTTACGAGGGCCTTTGTCAAGCTGTACGATGACGGGATGATCTATCGGGACACAAGGATGGTCAATTGGAGCCCCCGGTTGCAAACTGCTATTTCGGACATTGAGGTTGTATGGAAGGAGATCGAGGGGAAGACGGTTATCGACAAGTATGGAAGTCATTTTGGCCCGGCTTTGTGACTTGAGTTCTGACCGTTTTAGTGCCGAGTTCGGCGTTCTCCACTCCTTCGCATATGCACTGGAAGACGGAAGTGGGGAAATTTTAGTCTCGACCACAAGGCCAGAGACAATCCCGGCAGATAGAGCTATCGCCGTGCATCCCGATGATGAGAGGTACAAGGTGCGCGAAAGCATACCACAAATTCTCCTAAAAGCGAATCAACACTAATTGGCCCATCGCTCAACAACAACAGCATTTACACTACAAGTATGCTTACCACCCCTTGCTTCCAGACGTCAAGCTTCCGATCATCCCAGACGCAAAACTAGTAGATCCAGAATTCGGTACGGGAGCAGTCAAGATCACACCATGCCATGACCCCAAAGATTTTGCATTCTGGAGACAACATACCTCCCCAGACGCCGACAGGAAAGTCGACATTCCCCTGGTAGCCCTCTTCACAGAGACTGGGCAAATCAAACCTGAAGTTGGAATCAAGTCACTCATTGGCAAAGACCGCCTCGAAGCCCGGAGACTAGTTGTGACCCTCTTGGAAAGTGGAAATGCTTATCGCGGGGCAAAAGAGCACCCCACACGGATCGCTACTTGTGAACGCTCTGGCTGCGTCATTGAGCCGATGATGCAGCCGCAGTGGTACCTGAAGATGGAATCGCTCGCAAAAGCGGTCTTGAAGGCCGGCAAGAGCGGTTCACTGAGGATCAAACCTGACAACCCGTATCGGGAATCCTGGATCAAGTGGCTGGGCGAGACACAGGATTGGTGCTTGTCGAGGCAGATATGGTGGGGCCACCGCGTGCCCGCATATCGAGTTATTGACCCTATTGGCAAGGTACCTGGAAGATGGATCGTAGCCGCTAGCGAGGGTGCGGCCAGGGCCAAAATGACGGCGGAGGAAAGGGATAGTTGTAATCTCGAGCAAGATTCCGATGTGCTTGACACCTGGTTTTCATCCGGGCTTCTACCACTCAGTACTGCAGGGTGGAATGGGGGTCATGGCGGTGAAGTTGGCTCCGGGTATCCCCTGAAATTCATTGAAAGTGGTGGTGATATCTTGTTCTTCTGGTTGGCAAGAATGGCTATGCTATGTGAGTTGTTCTCAATCCCGATCGCTGTCGGGCGGACTAACAATATACAGGTCATTATTTCGTGGGAGAACTGCCGTTCAGGGAGGTACTCCTACACCCACTAGTATGCGATTCCAATGGCAAGAAGATGTCCAAATCAGTGGGAAATGTGTTAGACCCACTGGCCGTGATCGACGGGCGAACCTGGGAGGAGATTGTGTTTGCTCTCAAGAGAGAACACAGGCATGAGATCAAACAATGGAAGAGGGTACCGGAACGGTACAATACCGTCGAGAAGGAGATGAAGAGGAGGTTGCAGGTGGCAAAAGGTTTATACGGAGTATCCGGCATTCGTGAGAGCGGCGCGGATGCGCTGAGGATGGCCTTGATAAATCTCGCCAAACAGGTTTGTCCGTGCTAACCCCTCCGCTCCGGAACGTGGGGACTAATCCTCCTTCCCAAAGCCCAGGGAGATCAAAATGGACTTGAGGGAGGTTAACACATTCCGGCAGCTCAATATAAAGCTCTGGAACGCTGTCAAGCATTTACATCTCGCCAAAACCAATGCTGAAAGGGTGACAAACGCACCCACCCAGATCCTTCCGATTGATATAGTCATCCCGAGAACGGATTTCGCCCAACTAACTAACAGAGCACTCAATATGCATGACTGGTTTATGATCGATCGTCTGCGCGGGGTCACAGAGGCCTGCGGGATAGCCTTTAAGGAGAGGAATCTGTACAATGCTACTGAATCAATCAGGTCATTCATCTACAATGACTTCTGCGACGTATTCCTGGAGTTTCAGCGGCCGGATATGGCGCCCGAGTCAGATGCTAATGTAAGTCCCAGCATCGTTGCCGGGGCTACAACCCAAGCATACTAACCGCCTCCCAGAAGCGCCAACTAGCCATGAGCCTAACAACCCACGCCCTGGACATACTCGTCCGGTTAATGCACCCCCTCGCCCCGTTCCTCACAGAATGTATCTGGCAGCGTCTCGACCCAGAACGGCAGGCCGCCGAGGCAAACACAATCATGGGAGAGCCCTACCCAATACTAGAAGACATCCCCAGGGTGGAAGCGTCACTGGTAACGCCAATGCGCTACGTCCTCGATCTGGTATCCAAGCTGCGAATCCTGGCCGGGACAGCCAAAGAGAGGCAGGAGGCGGTAGTATATGTCACCCCCAGGCAGCCGGTGCTGGCAAAGTACCTGAAGGAAAAACTAGGGGTATTGCAGTCCATAACCAAGGTGAACGTGAATGCGACCACCAATGAGGAAGATATAGGAAGCATCCATGATGTTCCGGCCCGAGGAGCAGAAGACGAGGAGACTGTGTGGCAGTCTTACGAAGAGGCGCTAGGAGGCGGAAGGGTTAGGACGGTTTTCAGATTTCAAGATGTTAGAGAGCGTTGGGCGAAGCCGCGCTAGTACTAGGGTAGAGGTAATGGTAGTGTATTATAGAGCAAAAGTATCTCCAGTACCATATAATAGCAAAACAAAACAACCAAACCCCCCTCCCTTAAGATACATCTTTCTCTCTCCCCCACCTCCAGAGTATGGTAGTATTATGATACTTGCATTTCTTCCCCCAACACTGTAACGCAATCCCACCGACCATACAGCCACTCACAAAAAAAAAAAAAAAAAAGAATTCCCCATGAGCCCACCATACCCACCACATCTCTGATCCTGCCCCCGGCGAGAAACAAAAGAACAAATCACAAGTCAGCACTCGCAAGGCACTGAAGGAAGCATCTACGGTAGCATCCCCCACCCCTTTCCCATGCCATACCATACCACAGACGCACATGGGCTACACCCCCCCACTTCCGGCTACGCATTCCCAACACCGCCACCACCACCAACCCCCCCAAGCACACACATACCGGAACTCGAAACTAAGGGTACCGTATTAAGCGATCGAGCCGGTCTCCGACGTCATATATAGCTTACATGCAGGGACGCCAGGCATAGCACACCAGCATCCCAAGGGAAGGGTATCAGGACGCTCCTACTGGCCGGGGGAACATAGTGGACTACTGGTATCGTACCAGCACTGTTCTACCGTATTTTACGATACCGGTATGGCGACAAGCGGGAGGGTGGGGGGACGGTACAAGTACAGTAGCATAACTCACCCGTACCGTACAGCACAGCACTCATACCGCACCGGCAATGGGTGGACACACAAAGGGACCGACTTTCCCCGCTCACAGGCTCCTAAATTCACCCTCCTCCAGCATTACTCGAGCGGAAGAAATATACCATAAGCACGGCACCCTCAGCTTCTGCGACTATCCGCGTCCAAGCGCCTTTTCGGTGGCCAAGTCCATCTCTGCACCTACAGCACCGCTTGGCTGTGCGGTATTGGGCCCACATGCCCAAACAGTCCGTTCGAACATTTCATACGCGCGGTGCTGCTGTGTAACATACTTTTAATCGTAGGCTCCCTCCTCCGCGCTGTCAAATGGAAAAGGTTTTTCTCATACTCTCTCCCTCCTACGGGCACGGACGTGCCGATCAAATAAGGAGATTTACACTGGACGTGCTCGTATTGTAGCGTACAGTAAGCTATTACGGTATGCCTTCCCCCTCGCTGGGAGCTGTTGCCAGCTGAGAAGATGGCCGGACGGGGCGGGGCGGGGCGGGGCGGGGGTGGTTGCTTGATCTTCAGGGTAACGTCATACCCCGTGCTAATTGACAAAAAAAAAAAAAAAGAATGGAGGGAAAAAAAGATGGTAGGCGGGCGAACAGGGGGAAGGTTCCTTCCTTGGTTGCAGTAATAAGTTAGGTTGACTATGTACGATAACAATAACATAAACCTCACATCTGAGCAGACCAGCGATCCAAGGGGAGCGAAGGAAAGGTGGTATCATAATCATTACAATTCGACCGAGACCTGATTTGTGAGGTGATTGGTTTGACGAGACGTGCAGATGGGGTAGATAGGGTAGATACCTAGGGATATATTGTACGAATATAGTAGAGATATCGTGCTCGAGAATCGCACAGCAGTCGAGTTCCAAGGATGATGGACTGGAGCAATACTGGTACCACACCTCTCCGCCACAGCAGCACCACAGCTACAAGTAAATTTACAGTACAGCACGATACTCGGTATTAATTACACACTATCGCAACTCACGGGACCCCTCTACCTAGCCCCTTACGATGGCGAGGCGGGTGTCGTAGCATACAGCACTCTTTACTCGTACTTCAGTTGGAGCTCTTGCCCCATTCCTACGGATGATTTCTGTGGGGGCTATTGGTCCTCCCGATAAAATAGCTGCCGGCTGCTCGAGTATGGGGGGGGGGGGAGATCCTCATATGAACTGGCGCTACGGGGCTACGGTACTGTAGAGTACCGGTAGCCTGCTAAGCATGATACCAGCCAGTATTTGCACTTCTGAAAGCGCTCGAGCACCCTACAACATGTCCGAGACAGGACTTTTTTTTTTACCTTACTCGGATGCTGGATATCGTAACCAGTTTTCTTTTTTTCCCCTCCCTATCTTTTACTCACGTCTCGCCAGAAACCTCCAACCACCAGTTGTGGTGCTCATATTATAGCCTAGCATTCCCCGAGTTGTTACCGGTATGTCCTGGCTGTTGGCTTGTTCCTTGCATTGTTATTCACTGTGTTCCTCGAATCATGAAGGTTGGCTCGACCAACAGGACCAGCGAGGTCGGGGAACAAATTTTTCCCTCAAGATTATCACTATAATGAATCAAAAAAAAAAATCAAAAAAAAAAAAACTCCTAGCACCCATGTCATCGATGAAAGTGCAAGGAATCATGAGCGGATTGCAGGTACAAGTAGGAATTAATTTATATCTTCTTAACTGCTGCAGCGGCTGTGTCAGGTCAAGTCGCTCACGATCATCCCGTTCGGGTATCGATTCTAGCACAAGTTGGGTTCCCACTCAAAAATAGTATATATTGTCAGGCCTCTGCCCCGCCTCTCACATTGGAATAGAGGAAGAGGGAAAAAAAAATACAAAAAAATACAAAAAAATAATCTCGGTTTGGAATTTTTTCACTCTTCCTCCTCCTCCTATTATATACCTACTCCTCTCCCGCCCACATGACCCAGCTCCCCCTAAAACCACTTCACTTAAGCTTTATAGTATAGCCTCTCTCCCCCTGCTACCCTTACCTTTCCCTTCGCCTCCGTCACTGCCGGTACAATCGTACCACCACCACCACCACCACCACCGCTACCCTCACCGCTTCTTCCACCAACCGCCCCGCCTGTTCCCGCAGCGAACCCACACCTCAACAACCCTCTACCCCGCCAAGTTAAAGTGTTTCTACACGGGTTCGACGAGTTTTCATACCGGCTCCACATACTTGATCCACTCGCATTTCCTGCCGTAATCTTCAGATAACCATCAATAGTGAACATGTCACAGTCCCATTCTCCCCCAGCCCTGGAGGGCCCGGGAAACAAGCGACCCAGAGGTGAAATTAGTGGTTTTCGACCTCCCCACTCGCACCGCTGCTGACAATCCCGGACAGGTATTCTCAAGAATTCCGGCTCTTACCATCGTTCCCCCACCGACATGGGGGCCACGGCAGCCATTCCACTCTCTCCCTCATCCGAGAACATCCCCGCCTCCATCCCTATGGAGGCCTCGCTTTCAGAGAAGGACATTACCCTGCAGAATACTCTCCAGAACGCTGGTCGTCGTCGCTCATCCTCTAACCAGGCCGGACGCCCAGTCTCCCGTCGCCAATCCTCCGCTCACGAGCTTGACGAGCAGGCCTCCCCTCGCCTCAAGTGGGACGAGGCCAACTTGTACCTGACCGAGCAGCAGAAATCCAGCACCATGAAAATCACCGAGCCAAAGACCCCTTATGCTAAGCGCTACAACCCTTTGGAGGACGAAGCTGAGTTGAGGATTCTGGATGCTGAGGATTTGGTAGTCGACGAGCTTGACGCCATGCAGGCCGAGGTGGGAGAAGCGTCTAGCTCCATACCTAGGCGGAAAAAGAAAGAATACGCTATGCGTGACGATGATATTCCCGGATTGGAACTTGGCGAGCCTGAGGAGGCCGTTCCCGAGAACTCATTGAAGGCCAGGGAGAGCCATTCTCCAAAGCAAGTAGTCGTCAAGGACGACTGCTTTGACGAGCATCACCACTGCCATGGCAATGACGATGAGGGATTGGATACTCCTGAGGAAGAGGAGAAGCACAGGAAATTCCAGGAGATGAGGCGCAAGCACTACGAAATGAAGGAGGTCGCCAATCTTCTTGGGTGAGTTTTCTTTTTCCCCCTTTCCTCAGCTCTGAATTGTACCAACTAATTGATATATAGACACCCGGAAGAACTCGACGAAGAAGACGATGATGGGGATGTTCAGCTCGGGGATGCCCCAAATGGCGTCCCTCACGTCCCCATGGTTCCCGTCGGTCTCGCCAATGGTACCAGCGTCTAACGCCAATTCCCCCCCACCGACATTTTGTGGAGGCTGCTTCGGGGTCATTGTTAGGATCGGAATGTGGTGTTTCGATTAAACCAAGTAGTTTATGCTCGGAAACAGAATCAGTGCCCGGCATGGGGAAATGAACTTCTAATTTCTATCTTCCTCCTTTCAGTTTTCGTTCCTTCCATCCTCGTGTCTTTATACTAAATGCTTGCTGGTCCATGGCCATTTCAAGCAACCCTTTTCTCCTTCAATGTGTATTTTTTTTATGGCTCCTTTCCAAGCCAGATCCAACCTTTGCTTCTTTTTTTCTTTTTTTATATTCCATCTCCTTTGTCAAATGGTTACTATCCGGGAGGGTCTTGAATGTGGAATTTCTTGTACCATGTCATGATTCGCAATCGAAAACAAAAAAAAAAAAAAACCTTCGGTCTGTCCCTCACTCGGTTAGGTTATCACAAGGAGGGACGGGTAGCTTGATAACCGGATAGAATGTACTCGTATTCAATTGACTAGTAGCTTCTTCCGTGAAGAAGCAAGCTGTCCAATTTGATTACGGGATGTTCACAAATAGTCACTCGAAATTTAGATCCGAGCCGCACAAACAAGGCAGTTTCTTCTGTGAGCAATGGATCGGGAATCGCACAAGTCTCTTTCGCTTGGACCGGCGCCGTGCCCTGGAGCCCTAACAATCGACCGACTCCCAGCTGCGCTAAACACGTCTCAATTCCTCCCACGACAGCAATTCCCCTGACATCACGGCATACTGTACAATACTGTACCCGCACTCCAACTAAAAACGAACGACAGGAGCCCCCAACTTGGAAACGATTTCAGCATTGACTGAACTTCCGTCAATATTTGCATTACAGCTGGATGCACAGAGGAAACGCTGTACACGAGCAATATTCGCCATGTATCCGTCTGTCTATCAATCATCCGTACCATGCCATACCGGTGGTCACCTCATGTAGTGCTTCTTCTTCTTTCCTTTTTTTCCCCTCTGCTCTTGCTAATCTCCGTGGGGGAATTTCTATTGTGTAAAATATCTTCGCTCTTTGGAGCAACGACAGCCATTTCCCCACGCCTACATTATAGATTGTCTGTTGTCCTCTCGTTGCCCTACTGGTACTGCTTTCTCTAGAGAGCATGTGCGCATGGCACTGTACGAGTACTTGAGCATGTGTGAATGTATGTATCCCATTCATGAAACGCAGACAATCATCCTTCCGACCAGCTGCGCGATTAAATGGGTCTTCTCCTTCCTTCTAAGAACTATCAACCAATTCTAACACCGGGCAGAACGCCTGGATAGGCGAAGAGGTCTTTGTGTATCATTGCAGTCTCTAGAGGAATTGTTAGGTGCATGATACTTTAGCCAAAGTTCTATGAGGAGGAGAGAAGGAAGGAAAGAAGAAAAAAAAAAACTGCAGATTGTGATATTTATTGGTTTGTGGGATGTGCCAAGATTTACACTTGTCGCGTGGGCTCGCGGGGAGTGGATGAGTCAGCGAGGCGAGGCAGGGTAGGACTTCCCTCGGCTAAACGAATTCGCTGAGGACCCTATGCCTTCGGCGGACCTTTAAATTTACGGCTTCTTGAGCTAATCGACGAACCATCTGTTTTTGTTCCGGTGTTGCCTTACTTACTGTACATAGTGCTTGCCTCGGGCGAACGGACATTTACCACTTCACCTACTCTTTGTGCGATAGGATGCTTTCGAGAGCTGCGGTTAGATCCGCTTCCAAGGGTATTTACTCTCCGTTTCTGACAGGGCGATAGTCGCTAATGCGATCCCTTCACACGCAGGGCAAGGTCCCGTGCTCTCAAAGTTCACTCTGGCCACGGCCTACCCCACGGCCAGCACTGTACAGAGCAGGCACGATAGCTCTCCACTCTCCCTCCCTACCAATCTAACACACTCCAGATCCACTGCAAGCGCCTCAAACCTCAGCAATGACGAAGCCCAATCCATCCTCAAGGCCCAGCGCAAACTCCGCCCAATCTCCCCACACCTAACCATCTACCAACCGCAAATCACCTCCTTAATGTCCGGTGCGAACCGCATCACCGGCGCCATCCTCTCGACATCGGCCTACGCGTTCGCGATCGGCTACCTCGTCGCGCCGACTCTCGGCCTGCACCTGGAGTCCCAAACTATCGCGGAGGCATTCGGCGCCATGCCCGACGCTGCAAAGATCGGGATCAAGGGGGTGCTGGCCTTGCCGTTCACTTATCATGCGTGGAACGGGGTTAGACATCTGATTTGGGATACAGGCAAGATGCTGGATCTGAAGGGCGTGTATACGGGGGGTTATGTGGTTCTGGGGTTGACGGGTTTAAGTACGATTTATTTGGCATTTGCTTAGGGTTGGGCCAATGAAATTGATTATCAAAATTGCTTGAGCGAGATGATGGCTTAGGAATTCTCACTTTCTCTCCCTCTCTCTTTCCATTTTTTGAGTTACTTGGTGCGCTGGTGGCAGGGAATTTGGGCTGCTGATGAATCTCTGGGGAGCATATACCGGTATGTCGCGTGTGAGATACTGTGACTTGAACACTGGTGTCCTTCTGTGGCTGGTGAGCCAAGTAAATTAGATTATGGTACTACGAAATATCAGTGCACCACGATATGAAGAGCCCAGTGTCAGTGAAGAGTGCCATTACAAATGATGGGTTTCCCGTTGCATTTGGTCGGGGTATTCCTCTCCCACAAGATGGCGGGCTTTAGCATGTGTGTGTATCATACAAGTACTGCAAACATTAATACGGGTTGGTGGGCGGGCAGCCGTGGGATTCCGGGCCCACACCGGGATTGTATGGTGGTCTGCCCGGAGGGTTGGCTGGATGCACTCCCATCCCGCCAGCTTGAACCCTTTCGCTACCTCTTGGCACAAACACTCCAAAATCCAATTTCAGGGGTTTTCCCACCATACCATTGTCCGTCTCCTTTTCCAGTCCGCAAAGACTCTCCCTTCTCTCTCAACCCTTCTCTCCCCCCCTCCGGTCCCGTTTTGACCAGAACCGCACCCCCATAGCAACCAGCGCCTATCCTCATCCTCCCTCCCCCTTTAACCTCCGTCACCATCCCCCCTCCAACTACCTTTAATCATCAATCCTGCTTTTTCTGTCTGTTGACTTTTGTTGCAGCAAAAAAAAGGAAAAAAAGGAAAGAGTCTTCACTTTACATCTATAACTCCGGATTTTAAAGCCCCCTTCACAATGCCTACCGGACACGTCGACAACGCGATTGGCATCGCCAATTTGCCGAACCAGAGGCATAAGATCGTGGCCAAAAGGTTTGTGTTTTGCTCCTTTGTATCCACGTAAGCTTCGTCAGTTGGCGGGAAGCTAATTAGCTCCCCCCCTTGTGCTACAGAGGTGCCGCTTTCACCATAATGGTTGTTGGGGAGAGTGGCCTCGGAAAGACCACTTTCGTGAACACATTGTTTAGCACTACTATCAAGAACTATGCTGAACACCGCCTCCGTCACAAGAAGCAGATGGACAAGACTGTATGTGCAATCACGTTCGACATCGGGGCATCTGATACTAATGTTCCCCCCAGGTCGAGATTGCTATTACCAAAGCTGAGCTCGAAGAGAAGTTCTTCAAAGGTTTGCTAAGAGATGTGAATCCGGGTCTGATACTAGTTGCTAATTTTCAAAACCACAGTCCGCCTCACCGTCATCGACACGCCCGGCTTCGGAGACTATGTCAACAACCGCGATTCGTGGATGCCCATCATTGAGTTCCTGGATGACCAACATGAATCTTACATGCTTCAGGAGCAACAGCCCCGCCGTACCGACAAGATTGATCTTCGTGTTCATGCCTGTCTCTACTTCATCAGGCCCACTGGTCACACCTTGAAGCCCCTGGATATCGAGGTTATGAAGAGGTTGTCCTCGCGTGTCAACTTGATCCCGGTCGTTGCCAAGGCTGATACACTCTCCCCTGCCGACCTGACAACCTTCAAGCAGAGGGTAAAATCGAGCCAAAACATGACATTGAAGCTTGGGGGAGATTGCTAATATTGTTATAGATCCGAGCTGTCATCGAGGCGCAGGGTATCAAGATTTACCAACCGCCAATTGAAGAGGATGACGAGGCTGCCGCGCTCCACGCTCGTAGCTTAATGGTAGGCCCCTATCCTGTCAATTGCCAATTGTTCACGCGATAGCTTTTCTGATTACTATTTTATAGGCCGCTATGCCGTTCGCTGTCATCGGGAGTGAGAAGGATGTAAAGACTGCTGATGGCCGTGTTGTCAAGGGCCGGCAATACTCATGGGGTGTAGCTGAAGTTGAGAATGAGGACCATTGCGATTTCAAGAAGTTACGCAGCATTCTCATCCGTACCCACATGCTCGACTTGATTCACACAACCGAGGAACAGCACTATGAGGCGTACCGTGCGCAGCAAATGGAGACTCGCAAGATGGGAGAGGCCCGTCCCCGGAAGTTGGATAACCCCAAGTTCAAGGAGGAGGAAGAGAACCTCAGGAAACGATTCACCGAGCAAGTCAAGAAGGAGGAGTCTAGGTTCAGACAATGGGAGCAGAAGCTCATTTCGGAACGCGATCGTCTTAACAAGGATCTGGAGAGCACACACGCTGCGTATGTTTGCCCCCTGACGAAATTATTGCCTCGGGTTCGTGCGCTAATGATATTACGAATCGCAGTATTAAGCAGCTGGAAATGGAATTGGAGGGTATGCAGGGTAGTGTTGCTAGAAGCCATGGCAGACGTTAAAGTGCTGTATTATGTTTGAATAAGCAGTGTGGAGTGAGAGGCGAAACGGCATGCTAAAAAGCCTGTTTCAAGATGGGGATAATCTTTAACACGGGACAATCATTGTTTATCACACCCACAACATTTCTCCCACGTTATACGATACTAGTTCCTCGTGCTTTTGTCGGCGGAATTCCCTTGTCTTTTATAGCTTGTTCACTTTGCCCTGCCCCGCCCCCCCTCCCTTTTTTTTTCTTTTTCCTTCTTTCTCTCTTTTTACTTCTTCAATCTTAGCTTCCAACTACCTTATCTGTTTGTAGTTCTCCCAATTTCAGAGCTCTCTTTCTCTCTCCCCCTTTCTCCCTCTCCGACGCACATTCTAGCTACTGCCTTTTCCCCTGGTTTTTCATACCACCTCTACAATGTCTTGTCCACCGCTGTGATTTCTCTTTTCTTTTCTTCTTGGATCAAAATAATACTGTGGGGTTGGCTCATCTATCTGCGGTATAATGGAATCATTGATGAGGAGACAGGGTGCCGATGAAGGTAGTAAAAGTCGAGGTGAAACTGAAGTTGCAACAACGATGCTCCATATAATAGACGTTTCACTCCCCCCAGACGATGACGGTCCCTGCAATACCCCCAATTAGCCCCGCGAAAGAATATGTATGTGTGTATATATCTCCAGGAGGCAAATTCTTACCGTCAGTCCCGCTGCTAACCATCTGCTTTCTCCCTCCGGGATTATAAGCGACGCAAGTCACGACCTTCCCCCCATGCCCCTTCAGCTTCTCCACCACTTTCCCCTCCAGCAAATCGTAGACCCAGATCCACCCATCCTCACTCCCGGTGATCACGGACTTCTCCCCCTCACCAAAACAGCTCCTAACCCTAAAATCCCCATTAACATGTCCGCGATAGCACTGCAGCATCCCCCCATTAATCTTGTCCATCAACCGAATCCCACCATCAAGCGCACCTACAAGCATGGCATTCCCGTCACCTGTAATAGCGACACAAGTGACCGGCCAGCCAATCAAATCCACAAAGCACCTCCCCATACGGATGTCGTAGTTCCTAACCCTGCCGTCCACACTGCCCACCAAAACCTCACAGCCCTTTGCGCACACGCTCGTAACGCTATCCTTGGCATCCTCGAGAACCTGTACCGCCTTCCGCGACTGCGACTTCAGGTCCCATAGCCGGACCGTGGCATCGTACGAACCGGATATCAGCACGCTCGCGTCGTCATTGTGGGTTACGGCGTTTATGCGCGAGAAGTGACCTTCGAAGCGTCGGAGGGTCTTTGCCGTCGCAACATCCCAGTGGAAGACGAGTTTGTCACCGCCGGCAGAGGCGAAGGTACAGTTGTCCGGGGAGATGCTGAGGGAGAGGACTTCATAGCCGTGTGAGGTGTAGGATTGAAGGGGGGTGGCAGTCGTGGGGTTTGTGAGGGTGACTGGAGAGGGGAGGAGGCGGAGGTTAGCTGGGGTGAGGAGGGAGGAGGGGGAGGAGGGGGATCACTTTTCCGGTCCGAGCCGCCGGTTAGTATCTGCGTGCCTGGTTAGTGAACCGTGATTGTGGATCGGAGGTGGGGGAGGGGGCTAGTGGAGCAGGTACGTATTGTCCGATACCGGAGCTATAGCTCACGCAATGTACTGGTCCTGGTTTCGTTAGCTGGGGGAGGGAGGGGTAGCGGTGCAGTGGAAGGATAGGGCACCTGCCAACATGATTGGTTAAGACGGCCGTCTGGCGCGTTGGGAAGACCATTTGATGCGGTGCGATTGTGGTTGTGGAGGTAACAGAAGCTATGATAGGTGATTTAGAGCTTTAAGGCCGAATGGAGGTCATCGGATGTCAGTCGGGTTTCGGTTTCCGCTGTGTGAGGGGGAGGGCACTACTCGTAGGGAGGTTATGTTGGGCTGTGAATGGGGGGATATGTGGGTAGAGTTGGATGAGCTTTTTTGATTATTTTGCGGGTTTCCAAGTACTGCATTGTGAACCCACAATATTATATCATACCAAATTTATCCTCGGAAAAATGATAACCCGGAAAGCTTGCCGCTAGCATACCGGTATCATACGACACTGCATCAAGTTGGCTCAACTAGGTTGAACTCGAGGAATTGGTGCATAGAAGTGGAAAAAAAAAAAAAAGAGCTTTTATAGAGTTTATAATATAATTCAGGTGGCAATGAAATTGAATTTTTTTTTGAACCGCACTCGTCCGTCACAATTCCCCCAGAATTGGCATTCGAACCGCAGTTTCCATCTCCTCGAAACTTGGAGCCGCAACTTCGTTTCGACCATTGGACACCGCACAAGGTATCGTACCCTACAGTACTACCTCACAACCTACTCGAGTACTATCAACGAAACCCCAACATCTACCGTACTATACCCCCTCAACCTCGAGCCACCTTAGCCCTAATAGAACCACAACTTCTATACCCTCATTCACCATTCTGATAATATCGCATCATACTAGTAATCCCTAAGTTGAAGACCTGCCCCGGGCCCCCATCGCCCGTTACACCTTATGGCCCGCTACGAGGACAGAGACCGGGACGGCGGCGGCGGCGGCGGCAGCGGGGGAGGAGGGGGAGGAGGAGAACGGGACGGTCCGTACAATAGAGGGAGGCCCCTACACAGAAGTATATCCATCCCCCCCCCTTTTCAAATAAAATGGGAAAAACTCGGAGCGCCCGTTCTTACAGTCATCAAGGACCCGTCACAGATTACGGTGCTTCGGTCGGAAAATGGATGATGAAGCGACGGATGAACTGGCGCGGCCAGAATATTGACTTTTTGAGGCCAGCGCCGGGGTTTATTGTCGATGTTTGTATACCTCGCCTGGCCTCGTGTGTGGCTCTCGGGATGGAAGAGTTGCTGATTGCGTTTGTTGTAGTTGCTACCTCCTGCAGCGTATTTGGAGAATCCAGCGAGCTCGTTGCCGACAAAGCATATACACGCTTCGTTGAACAAAATCAAACATCCGATTAACGTTGTCAAGGTCGGTTCTTGGAGCCCTTTCCCGGCGGATTGATGGTCGCAGTGGGGGGATGGATGGCGCTGACTGGATGGGGTTGTTTAGTGGACACCTGAAGGCAGGAGGTTGCTCACCGGATCCAGTAGTGGAGAGTTTACCTTATGGAACGGGATGGGGTTTAATTTTGAGACCATTATGCAGGTGTGTTGGTGCTGCAGCGAATGCTTTGCGGGAAGGCGTGGCTAAGGTTTGGGTACAGGCTCACGATTGTGCTATCCGTGTTTGCCAATACTCGCATAGTGGCGATTGGTTGCTTTCGGGAGATCAGGATGGGACGGTCAAGTACTGGCAGCCTAATTTCAATAATGTTAAAGTACTCGATGCACATAAAGAACCTATTCGTGATTTATCGTGGGTTTTATCCTCCAATTTTCTTGGTGTATGTATGATATATATATATATATATAAAGTTAATGGCTTATAGGTTCTCGCCTACCGACGCAAAGTTTGTTACTGCGTCCGACGACGGTACGCTCAAAATCTGGAACTTCAACGAGGGAGTCGAGGAGCGGGCTCTCACAGGTCACGGTTGGGATGTAAAGTCCGTGGACTGGCATCCAACCAAGGGGTTAATAGTCTCTGGTTCGAAGGATCACTTGGTGAAGCTTTGGGATCCTCGCTCCTCCCGCTGCCTGACTACGCTACACGGTCACAAGAATACCATCTCAAAATCTCTCTTCCAGCCCACTCGTGGCGATCTGCTGGCAACTTGTGCGAGGGACCAAACGTGTCGAATATTCGACCTTCGTGCGATGAAGGACTTCTGCGTGCTTCGTGGTCATGAGAAGGATATATCAACGCTGGCCTGGCACCCAATCCACCCGGCATTGATCTCTACGGGAGGTTCGGATGGAGCTCTTAATCACTATCTCCTTGACGAGAGCCCGCAAGGTGTCAACGCATCCCATACATCCTCAACAATCATCCACCCCGCAGCGTCAATTCCGTTCGCACATGAATATGCGATTTGGAGCATGGAATACCACCCGCTCGGCCACATCCTCTGCTCCGGATCCAACGATAGAATCACCCGTTTCTGGACCCGCCCCCGCCCCGGCGAACTCGATGGTTTCCGTGACAGGCATCATATCGGCGATGAGGCTGCCGCGGCGATGGGAACTTATGACCGTCGTGGACGAAGAAACAGACAGGAAGAGGAGGAGGAAGAGCAGGACGAGGCAGATGCACTAGTAGATCAGAAGATGCCGCTACCGGGTCAGCAATCACATGGCATTCCTGGATTCCCTAACATACCGAATATGCCCGGTTTAGTTCCGCCCCTACCCATGGGTGGGGCGGTCCCGGGACTCGGAGATCTATCGTCAACTCTCGCCGGCCTCTTCAACACGGGTAAACTCCCACCTCCACCGCCACCCCCTCCGCACCTTCAGGGTGGCCCTGGAGGAGGAAGTGGCCCGCCACCCCCGCCCCTCCCCGTAGTGGGCGGTGCTATTCCTCCGGGATTTATCCCCCCTCCACCCCCACCTAATTTCGGCATTCCTGTAATGGGTGGGGCACCAGCGGGCGGTATTCCTGGTATCCCAGGGTTGGGAGGTGGAGGCGTGCCTACTGCTACACAGTCGCTTGCAGCGAACGAGGATCATCAGGGCGGGAGAAATAGAGCACCGCTACCAAGCCAAAAGGAGAGTTTACGGGAGGCGCAGGGATTTCGTGGTGGCGGCGCTGGGGGCGGTAACAGGAGGTAGATAGACCGTTTATTTGTTTGTGGTGGTTGTATCATAGTGGAAATGTTCATGGGTTAAAGGTGGGGTTGGGAATTGCGGGGGGCAAGGGGTTGTAAGATATCCGATTTATTTATTCTATGAAAGGTGTATGAAGTTCACGGATGTTGTGGTGCGCCTTTGTAGTGAAATGGTGGACGCTTATGGTACCCGAATCTTGGCTATGATACCGTATTTTATGTGGTAAGTGATCTTTTGTGATTGGGCCTTGAGGAAATGCTTCGATTACCGTGCCAGAAGCTTTTGACAACCGAGTTGACCGAAGTTGGGGCTTACTGAGCTCATTGCAAGGACTTCCTGGTCCCCATCTATCATACCCTCTCACAGTGTTATACCGCTCCCGTTCACAATCTTTCACTCGCATCCCAATGATCCTATTCGGGACTCCCATCAGCCGGGTAACCCTTGGACCACCATCACTGATAAACCCAAAAGTTACCCTCCCGCCAAGCCAGTCACCACGCACAAGGTCCATGATCTAGCTCCCAGTATGATACTATCGTACCATACATCGATGGGAATCAAAGTCCAATCCTCAGCCACCCGTGTGACGTCCTCTCCAAACACCCATTAACTACCCCCCATACCAAACACACACATACACACACACAAGTACCCGGACCATCACGACGCCGAACGCGCACAAACAGCAATGTCGGAGGTTACAGAAATGAACCCCATATACGCGCCATTCTTCGGCATGGCCGGAGTGTAAATCCCCGGTTCCAGAGGTGCAAGCGAAAGAAGGGGAAGGGGGTGCCATCCGGCTAACAAAGAGGAATGGTAGGGCATCGGCAATGATATTCTCAAGTATGGGCGCGGCCTACGGTACCGCCAAAGTTCGTTCTTATCCACCCTTTTCCGGGAAACCCAAACGGAAGCGCGAGTTGCGCAACTGACTGGCTGACTGACGTGACCGACTGACAAAAGGCCGGTATCGCAATCTCGGGGATCGGAACGTTCAAACCGGAGCTCATCATGAAGTCCTTGATCAGTAAGCGTACCTTTTTTTTTTCTTCCCCTTTTCCTCCGATCCCAGTTCTGATTGGTTTTCCAAGGCGTGATCATGTCCGGTATAATAGCCGTTTACGGCCTCGTGATAGCCGTCCTCATAGCTGGAGATCTGGGTCGCAAGGAATCGTCATATTCACTATTCTCCGGGATCTTGCACATGGCTGCTGGGCTGAGTGTTGGGATGACCGGCCTGGCGGCCGGGTATGCTATCGGCCTCGTTGGGAATGCGGGCTCGAGGGCGTTTTTGCAGCAACCCAAGGTTTTTGTCGGTCAGGTGCTTATTCTGATCTTTGCGGAGGTGTTGGGGCTATATGGGCTTATTGTGGCGTTGATTTTGAATACTAAGATTTCAGGGTGAGGGGGATTGGAGAAAGGGGGGGTTGTATGATAGCGGTAGGGGGGACGAAGGCGGGGGGCTATGCTGTGTTTAAAGGGGAGGGGATAATGGGGGTATGCAAATTCTGTTTCTCTTTTTATTTTTATTTTGTTCTCTTGCTATTGGGATTCCGCTTTCTTTCCTACCCTCTAGAATGGAAATTGATTTCAAAATATCGGGATATTCAACACGGAAAATTTCTCGTGAACCTTTGTGAAAGTAAATCTCTACACACTCCACTCATCGCTCATGTTACAAGTACAAAAACTCCCAGATATACCCCGCACAAACCAACTCTTGTCTTTTCGAAAACAGAAACAAAATGAAAGAGATTATTAAATAGCACACAGCCACCGGAAATCCTTTTTTTAAAATAAAAAAAATTTAAAAAATGAAATGAAAAAATGAAAAAAAGGGAAAAGGTGAAAAAGGTGAAACAAAAAACATACAAAACCCTTCTGAAAGAGCCGCCTGTCTAGGACTGGGAATGATATAACTTGCACTGTGCTGTAATCCGGCTATGGTGCCATCCATCCACCCATCATACATGTATCCGTCCCGAGTGAGAATCTATGCATAGGGCGGGTATCAACCATTGAGCATCGGATCGGATCGGATCGGATTGGACGCGACAACAGCGGTGACTATCGCAGCAGGGGACGTAGCGGGCGTGCGGTCGTGGTATCGTTAACGGGGGGAGCAAAAAGGTGATGGGTATAAAATGTGGGAGGGATGGGAGGTTTTGTACGGTTGCAAGTGGAAGCGGGAGAGAATGGCGAGGTACAGAAGTTGAAGAGGCAGCAAGGGGGACGGGGGAAGGGAAAGACTGGTTGTCGCCAACTTTGCTTTCGTACGGAGCCCAGATGGGTGGGTTGGCTGATGGCTAGGCGTGTACTGTGCCGTGCCATAGTGATGTAGAGGTAGGAAGTAGAAAGTGGAAGTGGTATGATGGAAAGATAAACAGGAATCGGATATAACAACAACGGCTAAAGGAAAATGCTAGGGAAAAAGAAAACGACGCCCGCGATAAATGAATAAGCAAAGTAGGACATCCATATACACAACCCCCCGAACAAAACGGAACGTGCGAATAGCTAGACAACATTCCACTCCGCATAAACGCACCACCGAGCACTCCTGTCCGCCAGCACCAACGCCCTCCAAGACCCACGCTCGCCACACTTGATGATGGTCTCCCAGACCATACCGTTGTCCGCACCCATTGAGTCCGGCTTCTTCATTAACCGGAGGATTTTCCCGCTGGGCGTTTGGATCGCTAACTTCGCCGGTTTTGGTGCATTGCCCGAAGCGCTGGCGGAGAAAGAGTCAGGAGGGCCGTCGCTTGGGTGCTGGCGAACGGCAAAGACGAAGGTGTTGTTCACCGCTAGCCTTGAGCACTGCGGCTGGGAGACGTATAAATCATGGCGCTGGGCATGCGGGGTTGGATGTCGGACGAGGAAGTCGTAGGGCGGGTTTTCACCCGTGTGAATTATGGGTAAGGCGAGGGCTAGGGGGTGGGGGTTGTCTTTTATTGAGTGCTGTTGAGGAATAGTTAGTTTACAAGAGAGAAGATGGGGAAGAGGGAGACGGAAGAGGAACTTACTATCAGCCCACGCTTCCCGGCATATATTTTCAACACGCCCTGTCCTTCGTCACCGGGTAGTACTGCCTTAACTCTGTACGTTTTGACCCTGTTCTCCCACGCAACTTGACATAACGCCCGCTTCTTCACTACGTCTCCAGTGTCGTAGATGTCGCCGTCCTGGTCGGTTGCAAAGCCCCTTACTTCAACCTCTGCGGAGCACTCTATATCGGCAGGAACGCTGAACTCGACTTGTGCAACCTCTAAATCTTCGATTCTGGTAAGGCTGGTGTCAAAGTTGATCATCTGGAGGCCATGCTTGAAGAACGGCGGACACGCGCATGGGAGCGCGAGCAAGTATGGCATGGGAAGAACAGGGACAATGTGCTGCTGTTCCATCATTATGGGGATATGCGTCCAGCAGAATTGGCTCGGTTTGGTAAGGAACCAAAAGAAGTCTGCTTGTCCAAGGGGCGATGATGAGTACATCACTCGTCTTGGGTGCGTCGGCGAGGCGAGGGAGCAATCCATGAATCGCCATTCCCCGTCCACTATCACTGCGTTCCACCAATGATTGGGTCGCGGGCACATGTCGACGTCCAGGACTTCTCCAGGAGCTTTCAGATATCCTCTGATTGTCTCGCACGGAATTCCCACTGCGTTGCACATTCCGAGAACCACTGCGGCAACTTCCTCTGGGCTTCCTCGTTTTTGGGCTATCACTGCCCTTGTATCCAGCTCATCGCCAATCTCCCCATTCAGGGGCCCACTAGGATGCTCCCAGGCTATCTTCTCCGAAACCCAAGTGAATATTGCGCGCAATCGTTGAACATCGCTCCGATATGGGCGGCAGACGTGATGATTTGCTAGGCTCTCGGGTGTTGTAAAAGGTGGCGGGTTGCCAATGAACCTGGCAGACTTGTCTACCAAACTTAAATTGGCAGCGTCAAAGTCAGCCGGCCGTTGCACGATTCCACCGTCTGCTGCCTCGTCACCGTCTACATCGTCATCTAGGGCATCCACAGGCCGAAGCACGACTTGATCCATTAACTGTTGCTTTTCCTGTCGTTCTATCCGTTCGTTTCTGGAGAATGTGTTTGATCGATTGACGTCTCTTCTGACCTGTACCCAATCCTGACTCTGCTGCTGCGCGACCGCTTTGCCGCCGGCAATTGAGTTTATCCCGTCAGGTATTGTTCTAGGAGTTGAAAATGGAGCTGGGGAGTTTGCAACGCTTCTCGCGGATGCGGTACTTGTTTTGGCACTATTTAATATTTTCTTAAGGAATCCTGTCTTCTTCGGTTTAGGGGCCGTGAGTCCTCCGAATACACCAGCACCGACGGACGGGGTCGCCTCTGGGGCAGCCCAAGTTTGACCTCTTCGTAACACATGAGGTGCCCCGCCATTTGCCGGCCTTATCCCCGGGCTTGGAGAAGGGATTTCCGTTCTGCCGAAGCTACTTAGACTAAATATCTGCCCGTGCCCTTCAATCACACTCATTGCCTTTAACTTTCGCCTTGCCAAACTTCCCGCACTGGTCGCCGAAAATCCACCGGCGCTGATACCGCTCATTATGCTTGTGCTGGTTGCGGCTGTGGAAGTAGTTGTGTTTGTACTTGATGATTGGTGGGATGTGGTGGTGGTCGATTTGATTGTCGCGTTTCTCGAAAGAGGCCTCGGGCGGACCAGTTTTGTTGGACTTGGGCTTTTGGTACCCACATCATACATAGATTTTCTATCCCGGATTGAAGCATCGCCGGTCCGCGGTCGGATTGTTTCGGTGTATGCAGGGTTTTTGGGTGGGGGAGCCGGTGGCACATCGTCATCTTCTGCGCCATATCGATCTGAAGACTGGAATCTCCGTGTCCGATCCTCCACTCGTGACGCAGGTCGACGAGGTCTATCCGGGTACGCCATTCCCCCCTTTTCCTCACTCTCACCGTCATCGAGATAGCCATTTCGATCCCCAATGCCCAACGATGTTTCAGGTCTTATGTAGCTCCTTCTTTTCGGGGAGGGATGGAATTGACCGGCAAAGGCTTCAGGAGACCAAGGGTCATGGGGGGTCCGTGGTCGCTCATCGTGGCTCGCCATATGTTCCAAACTCTCCATAACATCCTCCATAGCATTGCGTAGCGGGCTCGGGGTATTCCCCAGAAGGCCAGGTGAATGGGCCCGATCGGCGGCAGGTGTCCGATGTCCATCCTGGGGCGGTGAAGGGGAGCCAGCGCGATGATATCGATGAGGGGGAGGTGCTGGTGGAGGAACATCATCCCGTGCATGATCGTGTCCCATATATGGGCTAGGAGAGGTGGCACGTTGGAAGTTTGCGGGAGGTGCTCGAGAGTTGTAACTCCCGGGTGCTGGGGAGACCGCTCTATAGGTATTGGGGGAGGCGGCCCTTTGGTATGGATTCGGCGATGGAGCTCTCGAATGTCGCTGGAATGGGTCGGGGGAAACAGCTTTATAGGGATTGGGGGAGGCTGCTCTCGTATAAGGGTTAGGAGACGCTGCTCGAGAGTAACTTTGTGGATGTTGATATGGATTCGGGGAAGGCGATCGGCCACGATCGAGGTACTGATGTGCGGGAGGTTGTGGTGAGGCCGCTCGGGAATACATACTTGGAGCAGGGGATACACCGCGAGAGATGCTGCCGCCGTGAGGCGCCGGGCTAGAAGCACCATTTCTTGAAACTGGCCGTGATGGTGGAATAGGATGGTCAAGGACCTCAACAAAGTTCGAAGGGAACAGCCCAACCTGTTTATTGCGCCTTAAGCGTCCCATCCACCATTGCCCATCGCCCGCATTAAGGCATTCGATCAGATCGCCTTCCACGAAACCTAGATCCCTTTTGGTCTATCAAGGGTCAGCATTGAAAAAGTTTAGAGCGCCATAACCAGATTGACTACCTCTCCACCCCAGGAGTAAATGGCTTTGCAAAGGCAGGGGAACCTATTTGGCAAAGGCGGGCCTTCGCCGGGCATGGCTGTATCGTTGTGTATACGATGGTCCCGAGAGGCGTGGACGGGTTGGTGTCGAGGGTTTCAAGGAGACCGCAGAGACAGCGGCGGTGGCGGCGGCTGCGGTGAATTGAAGACAAAAGGGGGAGAAAATAAAGGATTAAAGATCGTGAGGTTATAATTATTTGTATATTTGTTTCTGGGGGGGGACAACAAACTAAGCAGTAAGGAGGATAAGGGAAGAGCCGTCAGGAGAGTGGGTTGAGAGGGGGGGGAAGTCCCGTTTCGTGGGTGGAAGCGACAATGGATGGTCAGGGTTGATTGGGGTTATAACCAGCCAACCAAAGGAACTGACAAGGGGGGAGCTTTTTTGGGGGAGGTAAACAGCTGTTGCAAAACCGGAGAGGGACCTGGTTGCCATGGCAGCGGTTGACAATAGTTTTTGCTTACTTCATCCAGAAAATGGCTGCTTGTCTTGGCCTTCACCGCTTGAGGACTGCTCGCCGTTCGGAGGTTGGGTGTCTTTCATCCAGCAGCTTGCTTACTCAGCCTCACTGTAACTTTGTCCCGCCCCATAATTAAGGAAGAGATGTGATCCAACTGTGGGGTCTCAACCAGACCGTTTATCGCCCCGCCCGGTCTTTGAATTCCAGTCTCCTCACTTGAGTGCATACGGCTTGCATACTCGAGTGCTCGAGCACTGTAAATCATGCAGGCTGTGAGCATAACTGGCACCGTCAAAGACTTGCCTCCTGCTCCTACATACATACGGGGCCGGCAATCGAGCAGACTTCCATAGATTACTCGTAGAGTGTGCTCTTGGCCTACCCCCGACGTTAGTACCGAGTTCCGTGTCCTAATATGGAGGAGTAGGAGGTGGATGGATAGATACGATACCATATCATGATAAGCTCACCCCCACTTAGCCCGAATGCAGTGCCGCCATATATTCCAGGCCATGCATACATTTCCTCCACTTATCCGTCTCTTTCTCTGGTGCGCGACTTCCCCCTCCTTTGCCCGCGTTGCGACCAAACATTTCGGAAAAAAAAACCTCTTGTCCAATTCAATGGCTTCTCCCCAAGCTGATGGGAACATTGCCTTCTTTTATGGTTCTTGCTCCCTGCTAACCTAATCTCCCGGGTGCCCTCCCCGCTAACCCCTTCCCTACTGTTTTTCAGGCACTCTCATGGCCACCCCAGTTCTCTACAGGGTCATTTACGGCACAGTGACTCCCGAATCCTGGAGAAATGGTTCCCTTCGTGTCCGCCCGGCCCTCCTGCCTTCCTACTGTCGTTACCACGTGAAAAATGCCGACTATCCTGGCGTTGTTCCGGAAGATGGAAAGTCAGTACGCGGAACATGCGTCGAGGGTCTCACAAGAATGGATATCTGGCGCCTCGATACCTTTGAGGGAATAGAGTACGCTAGAAAGATGGTTAGGGTCAAAATTCTGGACAAGAAGGGTAACGAAACGGGCGAAGAAAAAGAGGCAGCAACCTACGAGTGGACAGCTGGAAGAGGAAATTTGGAGGACCGGGAATGGGACTTTCACCACTTTGTCAAGGAAAAGCTCTCGGAGTGGGTCGGTGATGCAGAGGAGTATGAAGGTGACATCTATTCTGCCTGAAGTATTATTGCTCCTCTCGTTCACTAACTTCTGTGACTGTTCAAGGGGTCGATGGGCGCCGGTGGGAAGATGGGTTTCGAGAGGATAGCGCTGGGCGCACCGGCGATACCGGTTAGGCTGTCGCGAGCACTTCTATGGAATAAATTTCGTGATCCAGGGCACCCCAGATTCCAAGATTTCTAGAGGAATTGAATTATAATTACCGTAAGCAAAAGCGACACTCCTAGTAAATTCCAGTGCAACTAGATCCCAGCGGAAGTACTGTACTGGTACATTGGATGAAATCCTTACCCTCCCCGCTCTATCCTCGTGGTTTGCATGAAACTCGGGGCAAGCTTGCGGCACTTTTGGGCTAGGGCAAAGTAACTGGAAGAAGACCCAGAGTACTATCATACCGGTAGTATTCGAGTACAGTGCGGGTATGATACCGTGTTGGAGATCAGAGTTATTATATCCCAGCCCTGTCGTTGCATCAGAAGTGCCTTACCCGGGCTCTCTTAAATACCCATGGGACGAAAGAAGGACTTTGTGGCTTCCCCGTTGGCTTTGTCTTTTATCATAGGAGAGGCTGCCGGAGCGCTCGAGTATAAAAGAGGCCGAGCAGCTCCAACTCGGGAAGCGGTAGTCTACTAGTAATGCCACACGCTCTCCCAGCTTAGCTCTAGGTCGCTGCACTATGCGAAGCATTGCCTCTGGATTACCGTGGAACACTCAACCAGTACGGTACTGTACCGGTAAGGTTGATTTCCGATGAAGATGTGCATATCTGCCGATCAGCGCTCCACATCCTCTCCTGGTAATGGAAATCCGGCTCCAATGAAATACGCTACGGCACGAGTACTCGAGTACTTGCACCTTAGTATGCACCGTACTTACTCGAGTATTATATGATAGCGTACGGTACAGTAGGGGGTCAACGGGATATGCACGGAGATTGTGATGGACTACCGGTACGGTATTATTATTGTACATGTAGTATAATATCGTGGGGTGAGCAAAAAACCGTTCATTCCTTTTAGTCGTCATTTCCCTTCTTACGGTACCTTGGTTGCATAGTTCGGTTTAATCTACCGGAACTCTAGCATAGCTTATGATATGATAGCTTTAGTTTCAAATTAAATTTCTGCATCAATTTTACAGTACGGTATCCGCTATCCCACTGATACCGGTACTACAACCACAAACAAAGCTTCCCACCACCACCACCACCGTCACCACCACCATCACCACCACCACCACCACCACCACTGCCACCCAAACCGCAATCCGGGAACGAAAAGAGGAACAAAAAAAATAGTCGAATACCGTGTGCGTACTGGTACCCTACTCCACCCGCCCTTTTCCTTTATGCGCAATCTATAGCCAAAATACCTATCGACCGACCCCTCTATCCATGGGTGCTGGGGACAGTAAGCTCTCCTTCAAGAAGGGCGTCTTTCGTCTTGCCGAAGAACACGTAAGTTAATTACTTACCGCTCCTACTTTGCCCCTGTCCCACCCGGACCAGACAAACTGACCTCTTCCACTTACCCGCAGAATATCCCGCCTCATGATCCGTACTGGCTTTCCTTCTGGGAGCTCCCTGAATCCGCTGAAGATGTTTTCACACTCTTTGCTGCTGCCGATATCCGTCGTACTCGCGACCAGCACCTTGAAAACTTGGAGACGCTCATTCTGGTAGTCACCTCAAGACTGTTCACCTTAAAGAGCCATCCCTCGTTCCCGGATCCCGAGCTGGCTCCGGAGAAGCATGCCCTGAATTGTATTCGAGTATTGACGAGGTTGCTACCATTTTTATACGAAAAGGACGGACTGGAGGGTTGGGAGGAGAAGTTCTTTTGGGGTGCAAGACGGAAGAGGTCCAGGAAGGCTTCGCTTTCTAGAGCGGAGGTCATTTTCGATGAAGCTCATCCGGATGAGGAACCTCGGCCGCCCACGGCGGCAGAGGATGTCGAATCGGCCCCACCTTTGATGGAAGAATTGATAGTTACCCTGATTGACCTACTCTTCTACTCGGGATTTACCATGATGGAAAATCCCTCGTCAAAGGGAAAAGTCACATATGCTATTTGGCAAAGCGGCGTTGGGTGTAATGCCCCGGTTGGGACTACCAAGGAACTGGAGTCCAACAAGATCGAAACGTTGAGGCTGCTACTCGCAATCACATCCAAGGCGATGTTCATACCTGCAAGTCGGTTTTACATCCACCTGTGTCTGGGATCCTGTGTGGTACTGACATGTGGGTGATAGATATACTGCCAGTGAGGGGGACAAGAGCCCTAACCTACATAGCAACCAACCCGGACAAGAAAGTTGTGCTCTTGACTTTATGCTCGCTATTGAATACAGTCGGTGCCTTGAATTCCCCGCCTGAAGGGATATATAACTTACTCCCGGATGTCAGACCTTAAAATATAACCCCGCCAGTTGGAGAGTTCCTTATGATCATGTCGTATTTTCAGACCCTCGGCAAGTTCTTGTAACATACTGTTTACAACTGCTTCTTGTTCTCCTATTATACCCTGTCCCGGAGGGCAGGCCAGATGAGCCTCCACTCAAGAACAGCTACCGCCATTATTTGGGGAGACTTCACAGAACTCAAGACTTTCAATTCTTGGTTGATGGAATGACCCGTGTTCTTAATCAACCTGTAAGCAACATATTCTTTGGAGGCGAATTTACGGTGCTAATGCCCAGAGAAGATCCAGGCTACTACATCCTACCTCCCTGGTAGCCAGAAGACTATCCAATGGGCCCCGGAAATGTTGATGCTCTTTTGGGAGATCTTGCAATGTAATAAGGTATGCTTTCCCCACCATTGGTCGCCCCAGCTTCCCTACCTAACCCCGATCTAGCGGTTCCGAAGCTTTATTATCGGAACAGATCGAGTCCATGACTTTGTGATTTTGATCATCTACTATGCACTAGAGCACAGATTGGATCCTTCCAAGTCCGGGGTTGTCAGAATGTGTGTTTTTGTTCTGCAGACTCTGTCTACGGAGCCGAAATTTGGCACGAGTCTCAACAAGCACTTTGAGGGACAAAACACACTACCGTCCAGCGTTAGGATCCACTCCTTCAATGGAACTTATGCAGATTATCTGTTAATTGTAAGTAATCCCTTCCAATGCGCACCTAATTTTCCTAACAATTGGGGTAGTCCATATACAGTTTGATCACAGGCAGTAAGGGTAGACTTGGTGCTGTATACCCTGCATTACTAGCAATTATTGCGAATGTTGCTCCCCATATCAAGCCCCTCTCAGCAGCAGCTAGTACAAAGCTTGTTCAACTATTTGCTTCAATGTCAGCACCGGCCTTCTTGCTAGCGAATGAGACAAACCATGCATTGTTGCACTCTCTTCTGGAGTCAATGAATTCTATCATTGAGCACAACTACTCGGGTAAAACTCATTCGAGCTTGTCTTTATTAGGTCTAACTATCGGGTGTAGAAAATGCAAACTTTGTTTATGCCATCTTAAGGGCCCACAAAAGATTCGAGGTGTTGAGAAGCTTTACGCTCGAGAGCGGGCAAGAGGAAATTGACCGTCAGAATAGGCAGAAGAAGGATCGAGCGGAATCTCAGGATAGTTCAGCGAGAACCCTAATGGGCCGAGACGATTTGGCCCCACCTATTGATGAGCGAAAGCCAGTGGTTGGGTCGGAGTCACCAATCCCACCAAGTCAGTTTGAGATTGGCGATGACGAAGACTCGGATGCGGAGGACGGGTCTGCGAACCAACCTCCCGCCCCGTCTGTCGAAACTCCAATGTCTGCTCGATCACCCACCATTCCATCCCGCACGCCCTCCGTATCGTCATCCGCCGAGGATGCTGTTCCCATACAACTACGAGCAATGTCGGAGAAGGCTAGAGGCAAACTCCCAGAAGGTGCCTTCCAGAGACAGGCCAGTACCACCAGTCTAGCGAGCCATGCAAGCGCTCCTGCAACGGTGACATTGTTGAATGGGTTCACACCTTCATCAACATGGGTATGTGCTGTTTCAGATCCCATGAATGGCGAATGACGCCCTGACTTCAGGCAGATCGAATCGTGGCTTCCTCATCTACCACTTCACACAATCCTTGCACTCATTCAGCAGCTACGGCCTCAACTGCGTGAGGTTCTCGCACGCGGCAATGGGGAACCCAATGCCACTTCGATGCTTGAGTGCATAAGGACTACAGAGATTCGCGGAATTGATCCTTCGTTGATTAAGACTCACATGTTCGAATGGAGTCCTTTGGCACTGGGCTGGTACGAGTCGTTACTCTGGGGATTCGTTTTCGTTGCAGAGAGGCATGTATCGAAGGGCACCGTTGGTGTATGGAATGGGACGGTGGTGAAGCTATTCAGGGTTCAAGAGACTGCCCCAGAAGGTCCGAGTCTACTGGCACCCCGGGGCGGCGTGGATGCAATCGGAACTAACCTAATTGAGAGGCTGGGGGGTGTGGGCTTAGGAAGAGGGCAGCGGCAGCCCAATTCTAGCGATAGCGGGGCTGGCGGGGGTGGGGAAAGACATGCGGCTGTGTAATTAGTAGATGTCTGTACTGGATCGTGGGACCTTTGCTTTTTGGTGTTAGGGATTGTAGCTAGATTACCGGTAGTTGAGTTAAGTGATTCTTATAAACCAGGGAAAGTGCAGGATGCGAGGATGCGTGGGAGCCACTATTCGTTGCGTATCGAGAGAGGAGACGCAGATGATCGAGAGCGCGAGCGGTAAATGACGGATGAAGGGACGAGTGATACCCGGTGAAGACCACGGTAAGAACACTGTGTCCCGAAGTTGGTCATGAGCTCACGGAGCCATCATTAACAGCGTTGGGAACGTGTTGATCGCAACCAATGAAATTACCCATAATCCGATGAATTGTTTTAGGGATTTTCTCCCGCTTTTGTGTGCTGAAGCAAGTATAGTACCTGGGGGGGACTCGAATTTCGTGATCTTCTTTTCCCTCCGTAGCCTTCCGCCCTAGAGCGCCATGATCAGGACCCACAAACCGCCCCATCAGCCACGACCCTTTTATCCACGAGAAGATCGTCCTTAACATGTCGGATACGCCATCTCAAGAGCGAGGCGAGTCTCTCGACTCTCCTCAACCCTATAAGATCCACGTAGGAAAAGCTTTCTTTTTCACGCGTTTGTCTCCCATTCGCTAAGGACGCTAATACTAACTTCAACTCCACCGAACGAAAACAACAGGTTGCGTCCAAATATCTCGACCTGACTACTCAAAAGTTCGACATAGCCCGGCTACCGAATGACTTTGGGCAACCTGAGGGTGAAGAATGGGCCGATGGGACGCCCAAGCGAGTTGTCGAGGAGCTGATTGACCATTGTAATCTCGCCTTTGCCCCACTGCACCTTCCTCTCGTTTCCCCTTGCCCTGCGTTCGTGATCCATAAATTTGGATCCACAAAGGGCACGACGGTACCAGCGGGGGAGGGCTTGCTGACTCGACACAGGGCAGGAACGCTTCGACTGGCGTAAGCAGGAAGCCGCGCTGAACCGGTTACCGAACTTTCGAGTTCCCATTGAGGTCGACGGCTTCGGGACGCTCCGCATTCACTTCCTATGGCAGAGGAGTTCGAGACCGGATGCCATTCCACTGATTATGGTGCACGGGTGGCCGGGCAGCTTCTGGGAGTTTTCGAAAATGATTGAGCCATTGGCCAATCCGCTAGATACGAGTATGCCGGCGTTTAATGTCGTTGTTCCTTCGTATGTGCGCATCTTTCTCTCTCGGTTTATAGCATACCGGCAGCGGAGGAGGAGGGGCGCCTAATAATAATGAACATATCTATAGCATGCCCGGCTACGCCTTCTCCGACGGTCCCAAAAAACCCGGCTTTGGGGCGAGAAAGATGGCCGAAGCTATGGACAAACTTATGAAGAAGCTTGGATATGAGCACTACGGTAGCCCCTCCCGACCAGTCCAGCATATACACCGTGAGACGGGACCAAAAACTCATAAGTACCCTACGTGGGATTCAAACAGTCGCTCAAGGTGGAGACTGGGGCTACCTGATCTGCCGCTACCTCGCCTTCCAATATCCCAGAAGCGTCCGGGCAATCCACGTCAACTTCCTCCATGTGAAGCCGCCGACACTGTCCTTCCACCCGATAAAGTTCCTGAAGCTCTTCCTCGCGATGGCCTCAAACGGAAAGTTCCCGGGGGCGTACACGCCCGAGGAAGTTACTGGCTTGAAGAGGGCGAAGAAATTCTACGCTGAAGAGATGGGGTTTCAGGCTATTCATAGGACGAAACCGATGACACTAGCCTACGGATTGACAGATTCCCCAGTTGGGTTGTTAGCGTGGATGAGGGAGAAGATGCATTCTTGGACTGACAACGTTCACCCCCGCTCCCCGCCCCGCCAGATACGACTCGCGTACTAACTCGCCACCTAACCATCCACCCAGTATCCCTGGACAAACGACGAAGTCCTGACCTGGTTCATGCTGCACTGGACCCCCGGCCCGCACCAAGGAACTAGACTATACAAAGAAGCCTCACGTGAAATCGAAGAAGGAACATCAAAATGGAGCAGCGTCCCAATGGGCTTCAGCAGCTTTGCAAAGGAGATAATTACGCCGCCGAGCGATTGGGCGAACATGCTGCACCCGCTCAGGTTTTACAGAAAACACAACTCGGGGGGGCATTTTGCTGCTTGGGAGAAGTATACTTTTCCACTTTCCACATATTTTGAATCTCTGGCTGGGTCGGATTGTTGACACAGGGGGGCGGTTATAGGCCGGAGGAACTCACTGGCGACATTCAGGACTTTTTCAAGCAGATTGTGGGGAAGGATAAAGTCTTGCAGTTAGATATTCAACAACAACATTCCGTGACCGGTAGTAATAGCACTGCGGGGGCAGCCGTGAGTACGGGTACGCCAGCTGTGGTAACGAATGGGGCTTGAGGGTTTCCGGGGGGTTTTTTTTACCCTCTCTTTTTGGAAGAATTGGGCCCGGGAGGGTGTCGAGAATAAACCATATCCTCGATTTCTATAATATAATAATAATAATAATAATAATAATAATATTATTATTATTATTATATATATTTCACGTTTCCCTTCAAGATATACAGGGTGGATCATGTAATACCATAGTAGTTTTGTGTCCTTATTTCGAATGTAGGGGCTTAGTGCTCAGTTTGATACTGGCATGTAATGGCATAAGCGTGCCCGAGCACAAGTACCGGTAGGGCCTGATAAACTTTTTTTAAATTTTTATCTTGTGCCAGTCATGACTTGTGGTTAGCATAAGAACTGGAATAATGTACCACCACGGTGTGATACCTAGCGTTGTTCTATGATACCAAGTTCCCAACCCTCCCGATTGAATCTTACCCCGAATGGATGAACAAGCACTGCACGAGTACCAATCGCAGATACAGTATTATATTGTCCGAGCGCGATGGTTAGACTACAGATGCCAGTACCGGTACTCGCAAGTTATAATATTATAATATTTATATATAAAATAATATTATATTATATATATAAAGTCTAACTCGTTACGCCCACATTAATAGCCATCCGCCTGTTGTGTATTTATTCATTCGCATAGCATTCCCAGACGCCTATATAAATTCCCACCACCAGTGCATGCCCAAAAAGAAGGGACACTCCGAAGAACCCAAGATTACAACCGTTGTTACTACTCCAACTCCTATGAAAGTCCTATGAAAGCCTCATCTCCCCCCTCTCCACCATTTCCACCTCCCTCCTCCTAATCCCCTCTTCCACCCCCTCCCCACCACCACCAAACATCCAAAACTGCACGCCCAAATACGCATCAAGGGCGAACTGCACGCCAGCGCAGAGCTTGAACTGCACATCCACGTGCTCGGCCGAGAAGAAATACAGCATCTTCATCACATCACCGAGCAGCCAGCTAGCCAACACACTTAGGCGGAAGCCAGCGCACGAGCGGCTCCTCTGATTCGAGAGCACCTGCGGTATTGGTAGAGTAGCTTCCACGCCCAGGGCTAAGTACCCGACCACGTCGACGAAGAACTGGCTAGAGCCGAAGAGTAAGTGTAGGGTCAGCGCTGTTAGGGTGAAGTAGAGGAGGAAGGTCCAGTAAGGCTTTTGCGAAGACCATTGCCAGAAGTTGTAAGGCCGTGGGGTTGGCGGGTATGGTGGGAAGGGCGGGGAGTGGGAGGCGGTAGGCGTTGTGGGTGAGAGTGGGGGGTAAGAGGGTGGGCGGTAGTCTAGGGCAACTTTTAGGAGGAGAAGTTGGACGAATATCATTATTATGCCTGGAAGATTCTTGTCTCAGTTCTGTTCATTTTCTTTAAAGGGAAAAAATTGGGGGGGGGGGGGAGGACTCTGTATTAAAAGGCTCGTTTCAAAATCCGCCCCGAGCCAGTAGAAGCAGCGGAGTATGGATGCTATGAGCATTATCAAGGGTGTCTGACGGATAGATAGCACCACCATTAGCTTCATTCACCCACTCATCCATTTTGTGCCGCATCGTGGAGCTCCAGGTCAATTCATCCAACATACGTCCAGCGAAAAGCCTCGGGAGGACTTTGTTACGTGTATATTCCTGATCTAAGAATTTGCCCTCAAAATCAGTCCTCCCCACTCCTAAACCTCGATCTTTATCTCTATCATATTGTCACCCCGTACCTGATCCGCATAACTGGTAAGCGGGCTCGTAACGATACTGCCCTCCCACGGTCAGTCGCCAGAGCCTTGGCGGAAGGGAAGAGAGAGAGGAGACACACAACAGCGGCGCAATATACGACACCAGAACCCGGAAAACCCCCATGCCGCCCTTATTATGCACTACAACCTCCCTCCAGTCGTCAAATGCCGAATAAATGAGTGAAAGTTGCAAACGTGAATGGTAATGATAGGATTAAAGTAAAAGGATCAAGGAGAGACTCGTGCAGCAGGGAGTGTGCGTTCTCGGAACTCGGGATACAGACGACGGACGGGGGGAAAAGAAGAAAAGAAGAAGTGGTGAAGGTAACAATGGAGCGGAGCGGCGGAGGTACAGGTATTACGGTAGAAAGAAACAAGGGGGGAGGGAAAAGCAAAACAACCCGGATCTACAGAGAATTCCGGGCTCCGGTAGAGTACGATACCGGACGGGTATTTATGGATTGGTTAGTCAGCGGGGTCCACCATTGGATCTCTGGAGCAGAAGCATTAAATCCAATCAGACTACGGTAAGCGAGGTTATCATACACAGGCCAAAGTCACAAAAAGCCCGAGGACCGTTGGACAGCAGCATCCGTAAATTTAGAAAAGGGAGAGAAAGAAAAAAAAGGGAAGAGTCCATCCGATGATAGGGTACTATCCTTAAACTGTTAAGGAGAAGGTGTAAATATCACACCGTCCTCCCAAAGTTTCCAAAGCTATCAAGATATGAAGTGGGCGCGCATATTGGGTACCGTAGGGGAGAATTGAAGAGTGACATCTTGTGACGGGTCTATACTGGGTTGGAAAAGCACACACTAAGAAATAATGTGTGTTTGGCACTGCAAGAGGGACCTGAGCATTGAAAGGGGAGATATTTCTGAACAAGTACTGTACTGGACTCGTACTTGGTGATCAGAATCACGGCACACGACACATTCCACCTCAACAGCAGTTTTTTTCTGCGCTCGGCGCGGCTGCGAAAGATGCAGGAATTGGTAAATCGGGATATAAGTGCCCGTGCGGAAATACAATCAGCATTAGGGACAGTACCGGTACAAGTACGGTACGAGTGTAGTACAAGTACGGTACGAGCACTACAACCGGTCGGTAGTGCTGCACCACCAGATTTGAGATGCCCGGCCGTGATTCCTTGGTCAATACTTCCTCATTGCCGCCTACTCCGGCCGCAGATGTCCCTCACCGTACAGTACGGTATGCCGATCAATGCGAGAGAGGATGGGGAACTGGGATGGCACGGTATAAGTATGATAATATTACGATAATATTATTATACATGACGCGCGGGAGCCGGGGGGATAGGCCTGTAACGCAGGAGTCCTAGTAATGTAGGGTAGCTGGGCGACGTTCGTGAGTACGGCCTACGATATCAGCGGAATGAGCGAATTTATCCGGAATCCGAGAGGGGTGGATCGGTCCGCAGCGTCTTGACCACCCGCCAGCCAAATGTCTAGAGTACAAGTACTCGAGTACAGTACAAGTGCCCGAGTGTAAGGCCTTTGAGGGGTGGTGAGCCCTATTGTCGAGGCCCCCCCCCTCTTTTAGTCGTTTTCGGCTGCACGCTCTACTCGAGTACCGGTAGTCCTCGCCAGGAGCACTGCATGTGGCCTACGGTACTGCCGGAGTTTTGGCTTTTGCGCCTGGATCTTAGTATTATGCTATACTAGTGGTATTCAGAAGGGTCGCTCAACTACAATTTAATAGCATAAAATTCGTAGCAGCAACTAACTACAAGCCATATCCCAATCCTGGTAACCACAAGTACTCGGGGGGTTCACTAAAAAGCGGAAACTTGCCGCCGTGAAACAGAGGCGGGGGCGATCGGATGATCACAAGTCTGGAAAAAGAGAAGGATTATGGGACATCTTAAAACAACTTTTGTTGCACTGAGTGATCTGCTATGATGGTAAAAATTCAACACTTCGGGAATTGCAAGCACAGGTCCTGAGAGAAAAGGGATAGATAAAAGCTATTTCAACTAACAGCAGTAAATAGCATAATAATACTAAGGACATCATCAAGCATATACCGAGCATTGAAGGACTCAGACTAAAAACAAGGCTAGGGATGAGATGAAAAATTGGATTGGAAACAGAAATAAACTAGGAATGGGGCAGGGGTTGGGGGGTAGAGGCGGAACTGAAGCCAGAGGCAGGAAAGAAGCTGGAAAAACAGGAATAAGATAGAAATCCATGAAGTATCTGGGAAAAATTCCATACATATCTGAGTCTCAATAAAACCTCATACCTCATATTTTAGAATACTTCTTGTTTGAGACAAGTAGTAGAGACAGAGACAGAGAAAGTGAACTTGGATAAGATGAGAGTATGATGGAGGAAAAAAACAAACAAATATAGAAGGAGCGGGGAAGCAGGAACGAGAAAGAAAGAGGAAAAAAAAAAAAATGTTGGGGGAGTAGGAGAGCAGGAATGAGAAAAGGAATTAAAATAATAGGAAAAGAGATTCAGAAATAAGACTAGGTCAGAGTTGAAAACAGATGTAGAAATAAGAAAAGTACTATACACTGCATATAATATAAGCTATCATACTCTACCATGATGTGTGTCTACCATTAGCTGCTATAAGATCTGATATTCTATTTGGCATTGAGGTTGTATGCCAGGCAATTTCTCCAGCTGTAAGGTTATCCCACTTATTGAAGATAGCCTTATGGAGAACAGAAACCGTGCTAGGACGTGGATAATGTTTAGAGATTCGATGCTTTAGAAGACACCAAATTGCTTCAATTAGACTTATGTTGGGAGAGGAAGCTGGCCAAGGAAAGAGGTAGTCTCCAATTCTGAGATCGTTAAGTGTTTCTAGAGTATGGCAGGAGCAGTGGGTGGGAGCACCATCTTGCTGGAAGTATACATATTTAGATGTTATATTTTCAGCTTGGTGTATGGATTGCTACCAGGGATACAAGTTGGGGTATAGAATGTGTTCAATGTAAGTTGAACCATTGATATGCGCCCAGTTAGATGTATCTCACATAACTAGTAGACCTTTCTGATCCTGATATATTGCGCCCCAAACAATAATGGTTATTTGATGTGGAAAGTGAGAGACCAAACAGTCTTTATTATACTCTTCGCCGGGTCTTTGAGTAATCCAAGTTATTCTACAAATATCTCCTACTGAAAAGGCACACTTATCTGATCAGATAACATCACCCCAGTCCTCTACACTCTAATCCTGAAACTGCTCACCCCTGCCATCTGCTTCTCTTTTGCTTTCATGGAAAGGAAAGGCTTTTTATGGGCAATACCTTTGTGGTAACCAGTATCCTTGAAGATCTTCTTGAGTGCGGCTTTGCTGAGTTGAATTTGAGCAAGTTTAGTAATATTGGTATATGGAAGTCGACGGTGATGGGCATTTGCAGTTGCAGTTTCGATTAGGAGCAGCTGTGTACTGAAGTTTACAATTGGTGGCTGAACTTGACTGAGTGATAGTCCCTGGTACTAGGCACCATCACTATTGTGAATAATATGATAGAGAGTGCTAAGAGGTAGCTTGAAAACCTCCTGCAAGTGTGGGTAGATCCATTGTGCATAGAACCATAGTGTACAAATAGACTTCTAGACATGCTCGTCTGTAGTCGAGATTTGCTCTGCGGGATTTGGGATTTGGACAGGGAGGGTACTGGCAGAACTATCATACTCCCTATCGGGTGGAGGACTATCTTGCATTTCTCAAGGTAATTGGGGACTCAGAACTGAAGAAGTTATTATGAGAATAAATGAAATGCAATGATTTTGTTTGAAGTTTCCAACTTTACATTTGACTTAAATAATATACCTGAGAGCATCTTACTGGTACTTCAATGACTCGGACTCTTTCAAGTACTCACACTTGCATGGCTGTATTCAAGCACCATATTTTGTGAGAAATGAACATCGTTGACCTCATTTTCTAGTCATACATACAAGCTGCTTACTCTACTTATCATCATAGATTTCATATTTTCTCTGTTGTCCTACAGGTTTATAAGAGCTAATTCCTGCAACAAATTTCCAAGTTTTCTTGAGTTTATATGGGTCGGTAATCCAAATAGAGATACTCTCCTTTCCGCTTTTTAGGGAACTCCCCAAGGACAAGCACGGTACGGGTGATTGCGCACAGTAGGGTAGGAAGATTAGCGAGATCCAAAGCTCTCAGTACATGGAAGGTACAGGTGTTTCAGTAGAGGCTTATTACGGTACCATACAAGTACCTGTACACCATAAACCTCCTCAGGAGGAGGAATGCAGCATACTGGTACAGAGGGATTATGGCCATTTCATTTATTACTTCTATCTAAACTAACTTGCACTTTACTCAGTCTGTCACACTAGCTATACTTGCCAGGCAAGAATAAGTAAGCTAATACTATGGTAGTCCTGAAGGCAGTTTATGATTGACGTTCAAAGTAGTGCTGTACTTGGGTACTAGGGTATTTTGGGTTTGGTTACACAAGACTTGTCTCTGCTCGCCCGGGTGTCAACATTCACCCTTTTTAGATGCCAGGTAAGGTGTTTACAACCACCAGATCCTTCTGATTGTAATACATGAATATCAGCTAAAATCATATAAAAGGGAACATGAGACTTGGAGCAAAACCCACAGGGTGTGCAACATTGAAAAACTACCCAAGATGAGTATATGAAGGTTATAACCCTTTGTAATAATGCTGGCTGGGATTGGATGAAAATTCAAGTTAGGCAATTGTAATGGACAAGGTCTGAGCAGGTAGTCTCAGGCACACCACTATCAGGCTCCGGAGATATGAACAAGTTCGGCATCCCACCAAGGGTCTATACATCAAGGAGCTGGTTTCCCACCGGGGGTCTAGACAGGAGCTCTTAGTATCTAAGATGAATTCGGCTTATTGGTGTGCGGCCGAAGAGCAAGGTCCAGGAAGGTCTGGTATCCCACCGGAAGTCTAGGCAAGAGACAGGGATTCTCCCTTAGAGGTCTAAGCATTAGGACAGGTTTCCACCTCCGAGGTCTAGACAGATGTCCAGTATCCCATCCGAGGTCTAAGCAAGAGACTGGTATCCCACCTCTGAGATCTAAGCATCAGGACAGGTTCCCACCTCCGAGGTCTAGACAGATGTCCGGTAGCCTACCGGAGGTCTAAGCAAGAGACAGGTATCCCACCTGAGAGGTTTAAGCGGCAGGACAGGTTCCCACCTCCGAGGTCTAGACAGATGTCTGGTATTCCACCGGAGGT